CTTTTGCTAATAAAAATGCAAGCCACTGCTTAACTTTAATTGCAGTTTCTTCTTTAACCTAGCTTAACATTTTCTTTATCCACGTTTTCTCAACATCCATTAGAGGCTAACAAATCCAAATTAAATCCATACAATGCTAACGTATAAATTACAATGCCCTGGCTAATTAGTTCTTTTCCACAGCCAGACAGACAAAGATTCTTTCGAGTTTTGCCAAACATTTCTTCGCCGCCCTAATCTCGTTTTTCCCCGTCTTTTGTTTTTTTGAGAAATCCACTTCCATCCCATCCCTTAGTGTGCAACAGGCATTCCATTCCACTCTCTATTCTTCCTGACCCCAAATCCTGGGTATGAAACCCGGGGGCCAAGACAATAAAGCCAACTGCCGTCCGTGAGTCCAAACAAAGCAACAGCGACATGGCACCACATAAAAAGCGCCATAAAAAAAACAGAATAAGGCGGAGACTAGCGCACATAAAACCGAACAATTGCCAAAAATCAAATGTGACAACTTTTACCAAAATTAAAATCAGCAAAAGTGAAGCCAAAACAGCTAGCGGCTGAAGACGAGAGAGAAGAAAACAGCGCATAACGAAGGAAAAAAAAGGACATGGAATGTGGGTGGAGCAAGAGATGTGGCCCATAAAGAGGCAGGAGTGATGGCTCCGGTCCGAATCATTGATGCCAAACGGAAATGTGCGCACTTTCAAGAAGTGCACTAAAAATGGCGACGAGCACTTCCGTTGATGGTTCGTCGGGCCCTAGATGGGTACTGTTCTGGTCTCCGGCACACTGATTCCGACTACTAGCTAACTAAAAGAAAAAATGCCCGGTAAACTTTCTGGCGTCTATAAAAAGTGTCTGTAAACAAGGCAACTAATATCGATGGGGGTGGTGCCACAGTTAGCTAAGCTTTACCTTATTCACACAGAGAAAACTTTCTTGCCAACTATCAATCGTGTGCAACGAAATCTTTACATATTTTATATCTTTATAGTTAAAGTTATGCAGAAAAGTCATGTATAATATTTATGGACTGTCACTAAGCTTGGACTTTATCAACAATTTTTTAAAAATTTCTATTGGTATTCATATTTATGATTAGTTATATATTTGAAAACTGGTAAATTGACTTTATCAAATCCAATATTATTTTGACATTGAGTATAGAAGAAGTAGCCCAAGTTCAACCACTGTAGAGTGGAAACTGAGACAGCGACTGACTGGCCCTTAGACTACTGCCTCCTTATGTTTTTCAGACACAAACCTACAAAAAATTGAGGAAAAATAGAAAAAACGGAGAAAAAACAGGATGGGAAAAACAAATGTTCGCATGAAAGTTGAATGATAGCTGCAAGCAGTAGCAGACAGAGAAAATCAGTAACGCAGCACGAACGCTAAAGAGGAATTGCAATTGCAGACCACGTCCGAGTTACATTTCGTGTTTTCACTCCAAAAGTCCGGACAGTAGGAGCCGAGACTCGACGGTGTCCAGTGTTATTGGGTATGTAAACAAGCGGGCGTTTTACAAGTAATTCGGTATTGCATTTAAAGTGGCCTTAAACGCTTGACATTCAGATGGGAAACTGGGCAAACGGTTCTTTATTAGCGTAGCTTGTGCGAACAACATGGCGTATGATTAATATGACTAAAAGCGAATAATGAACACCACTTTCGGCATCATTTACGAGAATGGACATCCACATCCTTCCTGGACGTTTTGGGCGGTGGCTAATTGCATAACAGCCGAACAGCAGAGTAGAATCTCCGGAACATTACGACCGGGTTCACTTGAGCAGAAACGAAGCGTTTGGCCTGGAAACAGGCAATAAAATTTTGGTCAAAACGCCAAGCAAGGCATATAGATAAGCGTCAAACAGTTCACACATTTTCATACCACCCTACTGCCGTCGCTGGAAATGCGCTCAAGCGTGAATATTAAACGTTTGCTTAGAAATGTGAGGGAACAGCGAGCGATATTGCCCAATTTCAACCCCCAAAAACTTTTTTTTTGTCCAGGCGACATGGTTCCAGGGTTTGGCCAAACTTTTAGCTGGGCCAAAGTTTTGGCCAAAGGCAAAAGTTTGCCAGCTAAAATGGAAATGGCAATGGAAATGGAGAGCAGATATGTAAATACCCGTGTATGCATACGGGAAGTTGCAGATATCTTCGGTTTGGTTAAGCAACGAGCTGGAAGATCGCTGCCCAGCAATTAGAACAGTTCACTGCGAATTTAATTTTGGATTAGGGTTTAAATTTGGCTAGATATTGAGAGAATTACACTGCAAGAAAATATTTAGGCCAATAGTTATTTAATATAAAATGCAATAAACGGAATATATTTTCTTTTACATTAATTTGTATAAATTAGTTCTTAATTAGTTTTATTTCAAAGAATTTTTAGCTCTTTCTGGGTATCTTTCTCTGTCATTAACCTCTCTCTCTATCCTTTATAAAAGGATAAATATTCAATTTACTGAGTCATAAATCAGCTTAAATTAATTACAAATATTTTAATATTAAATATAAACGTATTCCCTTCTTCGACTTTATTAGACCATTGCCGTGCTTTGAAATCATTTATTTTCTGGGTACTTCTTCTTCCAAAAATTCAAGGCAAAGGACAACTTTGCAGGGTGGCTCATTCCTGTACATACATACTCGTACATATTTATCCAAAATCTCACTGGCATATCCCTGAACACATTTGACTGCCCAAAAATGCTGTGCTTTGATATGAAAAGGTGAGTTTGGCTGTTCGGTTCCCTGGCAATCCGGTTTTGATCTTTGCAGCGTAATAATGCCTCGTCTCGCTTCTGTGCTAATCACAGAGCGTGTCCTTGAAAAGAACCTCTCACCCATTTCACAAGAAAAACAATATTAAATCCGAGCGATGGCAGGCTTGCTGACTGGCTGGCAGGCTCTTTAAATCGTAAATTGAGCTGCCAACGGAATGCAGGCATATCCGTTTTATGCATTACTATGCAAAGCACGCGGCACGTCATTAGTGGAGGTTTGTGACGAAAGGGGGTGGCACTGTGTGGCCAGAACTTGGGCGTGGATGTGGGTGTTGGTGAGTCAACATAATGAATTATGCCACGCCTAACGAGTACACAGCAGCCAGCACGGCCCGGCACAGAAATCCAATAAAAATTCAATAAATTCCCCACAATACCAGCCACAGCAGCGGTTAAAAAGCTAGTATTTATAAAAGTAACAATAGATTGTTATAAACTAGATCAAATGAGTTATCAAAGGACATTATATAGTTAAAATTTGATTGCAATCCATGAAGTTTCTTTACTTATTGGCATTAATATTAAAATTGTAGTAAAAATACTACTAAAAACACCTACAATTCTCACCTCCCCTGTATATCATGTGTAAGAATACGAAAAGGGAGTAGAAGTATGAAGGGTGGGGCCTGGTTGAGAGGTGTGTGGTTGAGTTGAGGAATTGCACGTTGAGCTCAGTGGGAAATAGTCCTGGCCTATGTACTTCCTCACATGTGCTGACAAACAAAGCCACCATAAGTCCGAGTGGAAAGAAAATACAAAAAAAAAAAAAAAATAAAACACATAATTTACTTTTCAATTTTCTTTGCATTGTGGGAGTCGCTGAAGGATTGGGAGTAGTGGATGTGGGCGTGGCGGTGTCTGCGTGAGAGGCGCCTATAAATAGACAGTGGGAATGGCAAATGCCAAAAGCGACAACCGGAAGTCGCAGGAGCCGATGATATATGGCCCGGAATTATGGGGAGCGTGGGCTGCGTAAGAAACCAACTACCGAAGTGGCCAACAAATTGAAAACAAACAAAATAAAATAAATGGCCAACCTTTTGGGTTGCCATTGAAATATTGTTCGCATTAAAATATGTTTTTTCTGTCATATATATTCTGGTTATGGCAATCCATTGAATTCTGGACATATGTAGAAGTCGCCTTATATTTGATACCAAGAATAATTTTTATTATTCTCCGAATAGTAATTCGTTAGTTAGTAATATTAAAATTCTTACTAATACTTTGTTAATATTATAGCCCGTAAGCTATACTTTGAACACTTTATGCTTTGATGCATATTAAATGCCAGATAAAGGACACCCAGTATGCTATCAAAGACCCAAACTATTAAGATTATATCTTCATCCGCTAGCCATAAAGACCTTCTATCTTTTCCTTTTCGCTTTGACCGCTCAATATTAAATTTCATAAAAATTGTGCGTGCCTATTTCCGTACCCGACGCTTCGTCAACGTTCCTCTTCCATCTGCTGCTCGTAATTAATTTACGACAAAAATAGGGTTAATATCGCCCAGAACACTGGGATATATAGAGAAGCGTTGGCCCTAGATGGCACGACCTCCCGGTTTCCATATCGCAGATGCCCCCGCACCGCTCCTGTCAACACAGTCATCAACTGTCTGTCGCTCAAATTGCTGTCACTGTGGAGGACATGGACGCGGCTGTGGATGTGGATGCGGATACGACGGCGGAGCGGTGGATGCGGTCGCAGACCTTTTTCCTTCCTTATTCAAGATGCCTTCAGGCAAATGATGCCTATTTGATCGGGGCCAAAGGATAAACAAAACGAGCGCGCAACGCATCCCAGCAAAAAAAGGAAGGGATATAGACTACGATTCAGATTTCAAAATACCCTGCGTTTTTTATTTCATAAGTATATTAATACTTTAGTATTAAGAACTTCAAAATTCAAAGATTTTGTAATTTTTTCAAAAATATTTAAAAGGATTTCGTAACAATGTATTCTTCAAAAAGACCAAAATTCAATATATATTTTTATAGCGATATCTTAGAATGTTAAAGACAAAGAACCTTTAAATGAATATACCCCAAAATGCAAACAGTAATGAGTACAATAAAAGAAGAGGCTCGAAATAAAATGAGAAAATGTTAAAGGAAAAGGAAGCAGAGAGGCAGAGGCAAATGTTCCGCCCATTCCCGGAGTCCAAAGTCAGTAAGACAGCGACGACATACTAACCTAAAGTTATAGGGCCTGGGTCAGCAGTTGCCAGTTACGCCTTTTCCATGGTTAACCAATTCACTTTTGTCGCTCGCGTTTTTCCTCGATGGTTAGCTGGCACTCTGGCTGGGTGTATTTATTTTATGCCGCTTTCTATGTAAATTTTTATGAGCGCTCGCATCAAATAAAATTAATTCCAAAAATTGTTGTTGATTTTGTATCGCTTGTAACTTTGTTATTTCGTTGGTTGCAGTTGGGTTTTCGCACGGGCTTTATGCACAGGTTTTTTTTTTTGGCTGGTAAATTAAATTATGCTCCGCACTCTTTTGATATTTTCATTTGTTGATTTTCAGTATTGATTTTGCTTAAATTGAAATTTTGCTTTTGGGTTTCATCAGATGGCGAGTAGTTGGCAAGTTGAATCAGGAAAACTTTATTGAAAATTAAAATAAAAAAAATCTTTTTCATAATATACACACAATTTCTTCTTCAAGAATAAGCCATAAATAAATTAAACTAATAAATACAACTCCAAATTAACTTTCAATAGCGAAAATATTGCAATCAATCTATATATTTCATTCTGTTGAACCGCTCTTGAAAGTATGCAATCAAAAGTTTACGGCTTGCAATTTCTCTAAGAGTTTTGCAAAAACTTTTAAGAACAACATTTGTATTGGCCAAGAAATATAAAAGAGTTGGACAAGATTGCCTTTAAGCAAGAATTTCTCGTGTTCAGGAATTTATAGTAATGTTAAAATACTACAATGGGAAGACAGGATTTTAAACTTTTCAAAGCACCATATTGAATTTGTTTATTAGAATGCTACACCTTTTCCGTCTATTCTACCATTTTTTTAGCTTCTGGATTGGTTATGCTTTAAGCTCATATTTTCTGTTCTGGTGAAATATTCAAATATTTCACAAAAACGTTTACGTTTTGATAATAATATTTGCAATATTTCTTATATTTTTTTTATAAGAAATATTGCATCTTTTATAATCTAAAAACCTCTTTAAAAAAGTCTTTTTCCTGACAATATTTAATGTTGCCAATTATGAAATTTGGCCAATTTCGCTGCACTCCAAAAAAGTTGATTAAGGCCGAGGAGTGGAGGCCGAAAGAAAAGCCATAAAAAGTCCAAGGCGCTGAAACTTTTTCCGAGTTAAATAGAATCCTTCGCTCCTCTCGCATGCACCAACTCCTGCTTCTTTTTTTTATTCCTTCTTTCTGCTACACGCGCTGCTTTCAAAATAACTCTAGGATACACAAAAAGACATCCTGTGGCCTCGAATGTGCCTCAGCGTGTGTCTCTGTGTGTGTGTTTGTGTGAGAAAGGTGAAACTTTGGAACTCCTTGTTGTTGCTACTGCTTCTGCCGCTGTTGTTAATTCAGGACTACGAATTTGGCTCAAAAGGCGAACGACAAATTAACGAGGATTCGAAAACGAAACGAAAACGAAACTGGAATGCACGAGAAATGCGTATAAAAATATATATTTTGCTCATAAATTAAACGATTTGCACACTAAAAGCGGGTAGACCAACACGCGCGCAAAACTAACGGAGCGGCGTCTCACATACACACAGACATATATCCTGGCAGGATTTCGTCCTGTTCACATGTATGTGTGTATGAGTAAGTGTGTCTTAATGCCGCCGCAGAGCTAAGCGCGCAAAAACCGACAGATACACGAGCATTTAACACCCAAAAAATGCGTGGCGCATGTTGAAAAGCTGCTCCCATCGAGGATGTTTTTTATTTAAAGAATTTATCGTTACGCCCGTAATTTTTCTCGTTTTTCCATGACTTTTTCACCACTACGCGTTCTTTAACATTTTTCACATACTTATCGGTTTTAGCAATTATTTTTTTTAATTTTTCTGTTAGGCACTGGTTCAACTTGGTTTTCCCGTGGCAGCGCCCACAATTGAAGCGTGTGCGTTCGCGTTTGTGTCCTGTACTCAATTGTATTCTCCGAGTTCCGCCAGCACCTTCACATCGGAATCCTTGCCATTGTGTCGCCGATGCGAGTGCGCGCGTTAAGTTGTTGATTTCGCAAAAGCTCTCTCTGGGAGTCCTTTAAAATACATTCTGATGTTAACCGATTTTGGGAAAATGTTATGCCACTGTTAATTAATTATTGGTTGGAAGCCCTACTTAAAGGATACATGCGTATAGCTGTGACTCACACCATTATAATTTCGCTGTTTCTAACAGAGAGATCTATAAAAGATGTTCCCATATATAAATCGATTAGATTTATCAATTACTCCATCCTTAAAAAAGGCATTTTTAATAGACTCGTTTGCGTTTCAACGTTTTTATCAGATCTTAAAATCTTACAATCTTACAATTGTAAAGAAAACAAAAAGATGGCTTTACAGTTTTAGAATTTACTTAGAGCTTTAAATTACAAATGTACATGCTTAGTTATGGTATACAAGAATCAATTAATTAAACGCCGTCACAACTGCAGCACAACAATTTTGTCCTGGTTTCGTTGGCAGAGGAGCAATAAAAAAATAGTCATATATCTCACAATTCCCTAGAAAATGCTTGCTAAAGCTTAGAACGTGGCATGGTTTCGTATGAAGTAGACATCGTACTCCTTCTCTATCCACTTGATTAGCTTGTCCACGTATTTGATAACGGTGGCTTTATCCACTACCGGTTCGAAAACGGCATATAGTTCGTAGGTGCCTGTGGCCCAGGCTAACACCACCTCGCGCTCCTTTACCTCATAGATTAACTTTAGTGGTCGTGAACTGTTGTGGATACGGTGTAGCAGGTCACAGTAGATAGCCTCCAGGCGTTCAAGCTCCTCCACAGACTTGTACGGATGCCTTAGCATGGGGCAGAGCAGCTGTGCCGTACTCTTCGGTTTGTACAAGAAATGACGCAGCTCGGGGATTCCCACAACCTGTTGGTATAGTTTCGCATTGAACGGTTGCTGCAGCTCTTCGTTGATGGCTTCTAAGCAATGGTTTTTCCTCAGTTTTTCCGTTATTTTAGCCTTGGCATCTGCCAACGTAAAAAAGGCATCTCTATCAACGGATAACAGAAGCAAACAGGCCTGGCAATCGTCAGCCAAATACGAAACATGCGCATGCAGATATCCATTCATATCGAACTTTGGTAGACAAATTGGCGACCAGTTTTCGGAGGTTTTAAACGACTCAGAGCACTCCACCAGGTTAAAAATCAATCGCAGATCAGCCGGATGTATGGAGTACTTCTTCATCCGCACCAATGCTATCAGTTTGTTATTGGCTATCAGTACGGCAAACACCAGATTCTTAATCTTCGAGCAGTTGCTCTGGATTGCGCTGGTGATTTGCGAGCGTATCGTTGTGGATAAAGGGAAGACGCGTATTGAGTTGGTCAAAAATGTAAAGATGTTGTTTGTCACTAAAAGGGAAAGAAGGGGTGATTCATATCTGAAGAAGTTTCGGTGCATCCTTACCTTTGGCACTACTGCTATCGTTTGCCAACAAATTATAGAACAATCGCTCGCTACCAGAGAGCAACCTCCGTAGATCAAAGTTTTTACGCCTCTCGAAGATCTTCGTCATATGTGAGTACGTCAGTATGGACAGTATTTGATTGTAGACATCACTAAAGAAAATCAAAATCCCCATTAGTTGCATTTACTGAATTAATATTACTGAATTTAGGAAAATGACTCACCCCAGTTGGAGTTGCAGCTGCTGGACACTCATGTTGCTTCTAGTGGCGGCCACCAGGATAAGCGAGCTGCGCTGCATGAAGGCAAACTTGATGCCAGCCGCATGTATAGAGGTAATGGCATCCTGGCCCATTTGGACGAAGCTTACTAAAGCCTGAATAACTCCGAATAGAGTAGCTAGCTTATCCTCATTGCCGTGCAGTGAGAAAATGGGCTTTCCTGCTTCGCTGAGTACAAAAATATGTTTCTTTTGTCCCTGCCACAGACTGTCATGCTGGTAATCGTATTCTTCCTCCAATCCGCCAATGGAATCCTCTGTTTTTGCGCTGGTCGAGGTGCTCAATGCCAGTGACTCCACGGAGGCAGCCAGTCCCTTGGTCTGTTGCTCCGGTTCAGGACTGAGGGCACTGGTGTCCCTTGTATTAACCAGACCATCTCTCAGCTCAGAGATAATACTATGGTTCTGCTGCTCGGCCTCTTGGTCGGGATCCGCCTCCTGATAGAGACTTGGGGACTCTGGATCACCCTCTGCATCCAGGAACTCGCAGGTGGAGTTCGTGTCTGATCTTATTGACGTCTGCTCTACTTCCATTTCGATTTTTCGCTATTTTAGCCGCTTGAACATTGCAATTTGCAAATTTTTGGCAAAATATACAAGTTTACAACTCAATCACCAGCGAAAGGTTTCATCTGGGTTTTCCAACACTGGCGGAAACATATGGTAAAATAATTTAGGGTATTCCAGAAAGCTATTTTAAATATTATTTCCCTTTTTCATTTTGTTCTTATAAAAATGGTCATCAATATTAATTGTTTATCATATGAATTTATGAATATTTTCAATATTGTAATACTTCTTACTATTTAAACACGGATTTGCTTACGTTTTCGAGCACTACCGATCAGCTGTCCACAAAAACCACAAAGAAGAAGAACATAGGTTATGAAAACACGAGCCGCTCAAAATGTTGAGAAAATCGTTTAGTAACCGTAAGTAATCAATAAAAACCATAAAAAAAATGTATTATAAAGGAATCAAATTGGCAGTGCCACGTTTTGGCCAGATGTGCGGTCTGGCACGACGGATGCAGAGCTCACAACCGGAGCAATCGGTGGAAACGGAACCAGAGGACATCGCCCTGGTAGAACAGCGGATACTAAAGCATCCGGACTACTTCCAGGTGCACAATCTTTTTACTGTGCGAGATCTGTTCAACGCCCGTGTACATTATGGCCACAAGGAAGGCTCTTTGGATGATCGAATGCGTCCGTATTTGTTTGGCAGTCGACTGGGACATTTGATCTTCGATCTGGATAAGACGGCGTCCCATCTGCGGGATGCACTAAACTTTGCTGCCCACATCGCCTTCCGAGATGGCATTATCCTGTTCTTCAACCGCAACGCTATGAACTCCCATCTGGTGGAGCAGAAAGCCCAGGAAGCAGGAGAGTTCTCGCACACTCGCTTTTGGCGAGGCGGAATCTTTACCAACGCCAATGTGCAATTTGATGCCGTCACCCGGCTACCCGATCTTTGCATTTTCCTAAACACCCAAAACAACGTGATGGCCCAGCATACGGCAGTTAGAGATGCCGCCAAAATGGCCATTCCCACGATTGGAATCGTAGACACAAATTGCAATCCCAATTTAATCACCTATCCAGTGCCCGGCAACGACGACTCTCCGGCAGCAGTAGAACTTTACTGCAACCTCTTTAAAGAGGCTATTCTGCGAGGCAAGCGGGAGCGACGACAAATCCTTGGCCTACCGCCCTTGGACGAATCCCAGCCGCGGCGTAGTCGTAAACCCAAAAAATAGCCTTAAGTTGGTTTTGTTACATTTATCTGAATACAAATACCTATGCCCATTGATCTAGATTGAAGATGAAATTGCTGACCTTGAATTGAAAATATGTCAATTCCTTGTAGGTGCGAAGCAATTGGATAATTGTTAAAGCCCATGCCTTGGGTTAATTTCGGCGAACTATTCTAGGGCGGCAGCAGTGTTGTCCCCTTTACGAAATTACTGCTATAATGGCTGTAGTATGATGGATTAGAATTGGAGCCCGTGTTGGGGGAGGGTGTAGCGGGCCAGTAGTTATTCGACTGTGGAGGAGTGTCAGGGGGCGGCGGAGGAGGTGCCAAACTCCCAATTGCAGAAAGGTCCGTCCCCCCTTTAATGGCACGTCCAGGACCGAAGAACTTTTCCATCTGCTGCTTCTTAAATTCATGTATCGAAGCAACCCCATTTGGGGGCTTATTCTTGGGCATGTCCCACGACCCTAAGTTGGCTGACTTGCGCACAAAAACTTGGCCCTTTTCGTTCTTGGTATCCTGCTGCACCCAACGCTCTGCATGCTTTACCGTTAGCATCGCTTTGTGTGCGCCTATGTACTCTTCGGCCTTTACTAAACGTTCTAGCTGTTGCTCATCTAACTGGTCACGAGGAAGCTTGCCCAGACGCTGCACAGTTCGCTTCCAGTTGTGAAATTCCCGATTCTTGAACGGCTTCATGGCCATACGGTACTCCTTCCACTGGCGCTGTCGTTCCTCCTTCGTCCCTGGCGGCGCTTCATCTAGGGGAAGGGGTGCCTCAGGCTTCTGAATCCACTGGCCGTTTACTTGGACAAAGGTGCCGCTGCGCTTGGGTTTCTTGGAGGGCTGCGACTCTCCGTTTGTCTGTAAATTGTTGGTTTCGCTAGGTGGGGGCGGCGGAGGCATAAGCTTGGAATCATTGGTAGTGTTGACACGATTGTTCGGCCTAAATTTCTTGTTATTTTGATTGTTGCGATCGTTCCGTTGCCCACGGTCCTTAGGAACTAGGTTCCACAAGCTAGGGCACTTGGGCATGGGGGGTTGGATTGGTGGTTGTCGATGCTGTGGCGACATCATGTCCTCCCAAAACGGAGGAGGTTGCAGTGGTCGATGGTTATGATTGCGTCGTGTCCCAGGGCCACTAGGACCTCCAAATCCCATAGGACCACAAGGACCCATATAGTTCATTGGACCACAAGGTCCTCCTGGTCCCATGGGACCCAAGGGAGGTCCACAGGGACCCGGACCTGGTCCGAAGTTGCCCGCAAAGCCCATGTTCATCAGCTGAATCGGCAGTGGTGGCGGTCTGCTCAGCGGGGGATAGTTATTTATGTCATGGAAGTTATTTGGTCCTCCTTGGAAATTATTATTGCTATTTGACATCCACTGTTTTCGTCCGTTGGTATAATTATTGTTATTATTTGGAGACTTATTGTTGTTGCCCCGCTGAGGGCTACCTTTCGATTCCGGCTTCAGCGCCTCTTTGCACTTTTTCCAGTCTGCAAACGACATTTGTAGCGGTTTAGTGAGAGTTTCATCTTTGCCGGACTCTTCGCTGTTTTCGTTAGAATCCGGCCGTTCCGCCTCCAAGTCCTCGATTTCGGACATTTTCCAACAATGGCCGTAAATCGGAGGAAACTAATCTATGAATTTTCCAATTTTTCGTTTTATACAGTTGGAGATGACAAAAAATTATTTCATTCATGAAAAGAGTAGGCGATGTTTTGTTATCGATATTTGTTCGTACTATTCTAAGGAGTTTTTCTAGAATTCACAACTAGCATTTAGAACGCAGTAGGAAAATTACTAAAGTTCCCTTAACATATAATAACAAATCTATTAAAAACGGAAAACTTTGGGAGTAAGGCTGACAAGAAAAGGCTCATTACAAGAAACTATAATTAATTTATGTAGTTTAAAAACAACTTGCGAAAATTAATTCATAATGATAATGGGCCGCTGTCAACAAGTCTTTTTTAACCGGTTCATCTTGTACACCTCTAGAAATGAACAAGCTCGATGTGGTGGCAACGCCCTGCGTTGAATGGCTTTTTGTGGCACTGTGGCAGCATCAAAACGATTTTAGTCGCAGTCGCAGAGATTTTGGTTTTGGTAAGCTTTTGCATTATTAATTGAAGATAGAGTCAAAATTACACAGTATAAACAAGTGTGGCGAGCGGTTATCGTTATTAGTTTTATCTGTAAAAAGAACTTAAAAAGAAAATTCTAAAAATTTAAACGTGGGTGAAAAGTCAGTGGCCAGTGAAACGCGTAGTTTGCCCATTTTGATGAAATATGCCTCAAGCCATCAAAATATTATTAAATTTCCCGGAGTGTTATTGTCAAAAACGGGTTTAATTGATTGATATTTAAACGGTGTCGCTGAATTTAACTACCTTTTCGTTCTACGCCCATCAGGCGCCAGCTGCGCTGCCCGCGTAGACATCGGCAGAGGCCATTCTTGTTGTTGCTATTCTCGACATATGATTCAATAGAGCGATCGCCTCTCTCTCTCTTCTTGCACTCTCTCTCCCTCCCACGGACAATTTCAGTTTTTTGTAATATTTCTGTTAGCTGTTTTAGTTGCTAGTGTTATTATTATTGTTGTTGTAGCGGTTGTAAGTGATATTTTAAAAAATGTTTTCGGACGGAGCGAAAGTCGAACTGAAACAACAACCATTAGCTTGCAGCAGTCGCACAAATGGTCGCCCGTTTGTTGTTCCCATTTATGCAAACAATTTTCATTAATTATTTACATATTTCGCTGTTGGAACTTCGCACCGATTGACTCAGCAAAAGCCGAGAGACGCCAATGGGTTAATTAGCCACTAAACTATAGATAAATCCCGGTGTTATCAGCTAAAGCCGCTTATCAAACGTGCACATCGTTAAGGCCAAAGATATACAAAAGCTTTACGTCGCAATACTCAAGATTCAGCAAAGAAAATTAGGCCAATTTCCATATCCTACAAACCAAGAATATCCATATAACACAAGAACTAAAGCTTCATTTAAATTATTTGATTTGGATTTGATTGATTGATTTGGATAAACTTGATAACCCTGTAACTCCAAACTTCTTATACGGTACGTTTAAAGTGTCAACATACAAAGTAGGGTTCTTATTAGGATTTCGTTCCCTTTTTAAGCAGAATTTTGTTATTCGATAAACTAAATATCTATCTGACATGTGACAAAAAAATATAACTTATTTTAATTAATACATTTAATTTATCTTAACCTATATATTACAGGGGGAGGTGCGGAAAAAAGCTTCTACGATTTCTTTTTCACCAATTCTTCAACAACATTCAAACGAACGAACAAGTAACCAGACCTTATAGCTGAACTCAGCGAAACCGGACTACAGGCAAGACAACCTTTAGACTTCACCGAGAGACATTATCGAATCCAACGAATCCCGAAAATGGCCCACACACATCTGGGACGCGCCGTGAAAAACATTGAGGCGCCACGCCCACTCAAGACACAGTCGCGATCGTCGTTGAAAAACAGCTACCTGGTGATTGAGGAGCTTATTCAATTGATTGACAGCGTTACCCTGGGTTTGCAGTCGTGCAATACCACGCCGGAATCGATCACGCTGCTGCTGCACAATCTCCGGGTGCATGGGCCGCAACTAGAGGCTGTGTCCAAGGACACACTGGATCGGGCCTTTGTCGTTTTCCGCAACGCTTCGCAGGACGAACGGCTGAACATAACGACGCGACTTAAGTTGCTCGAGCTCATTGAGCTGCGTGCCAAGAGCTGGGACAATGACGACACAATCGCGTACTACAAGTCCAAGCAGCAGATCTCTAACGTGGAGGTAAGTTAGACTAAACTAAAGACAAAAATCAATCTGAGAGGTTAAAATTAATTGTGTTAATTGTCTCATTTTAGAAAACTATCAATTTGTGAATAATTAACACATTTATATTAGTTTACTTAATTTGTTAATTAATTACAAATTACTGTTGTTGAATTCTTAATTTTTTAATTGTTTTAGTTTAGGACTTTGATAATGACATTCTAACCAATATTCCAAATTATGACATCCAGATTATAATGCCCTTTTTTCTTTTTTTTTTTTAGCTGCCCACGGAATATCAGTACGATGCCGGCGTTCAGCCAGGCGCCTTCAGCACCTCCCCCACATTCGGCGTCAGCGGTGGTGTTGGCGGTGTCAACCTAGGAGCCGCAGCCACCGCTGCCGCCGTTTTCAATGCGGCAAATGCAGCCGCAGCCGCTCAAGCAGCGGCCATTGCAGCCGTCGGCTCACCCAACCAGCAGCACATGCTGCTGCCGCCCGGTGAAGTCATCCGTAATTCGGGCAAGTTTCCCAAACCGACCAAGATCCCCGGTAAGACGTACTGCAAGGACGAGGTCGTAATTCGCAATGCCGACTCCGGCAAAGGTAAGTTTTCTCAAGTGAGGAGTAACCCGGATACCCCTGATATTTGAACATTAATTTAAAAATATATATTCCACTTAACCCGTGGCCACAAAGTTATGGGCATCAAGGGGCGACGCGTGCACATGATCGAGGAACTAAGCGAAACCATAATATCGTTTCAAAGAGGTAACCTCCAGCAGCTGGTTTTAATTGTCCTCACAGCACACGCATTTCATTTAGCACGCTTATTGCACTCATTTCCGGTGGCTTGTTACAAAATTTTCGTAAAAAAAAAATTCAAGATCGCATGCCTCATAAAATTTCGTTAATAAAATGTAATTCAAACCATATTATTTTCATTTTGTAAATATTTTTACGTATTTTATTTTTATTTTGTTGTACTTTAATCCTATATATATTTATGGAATTTATTATTTCATTTATTAATGACATATTTTTATTAGTAAACCCGGGCGCCAAGGAGCGTTTGGTACAGATTACTGGTCCAGCCGAGGATAAAATTAAGTGAGTAATGTAAATGTATTAACAATTTATGAATGAGGGTTTCAAGTAAATGGTTTTTCTCGAAAAGATTCATAAATTCCACTCTTGAAAGTCTCAATTTTTTTAATTTACCATTTCCTCGAAAAACTTTAATAATAAATTCCTCAAATAACAGTTACGCAAAACAACTGATGGAGGACACAATCCGACGGAATGCCTCGCCTGTTCGCTTAGAACCCGCTCCCGCTGCCGGAGGATCCTGCTCCTCGTTGAACTCGTCCAACTCGGATGACGCCATCGTGCAACCACGAACCCCAAGCGGAAGCAGTTTGGCCAACCGGCTGAGCTTCAACTCGGCCCAGAATTTTATGACTGCCACTGCTGCTGCGCAGCAGATTCAGCAGCAAGTTCTCCATCAGCAGCAGCAGGTGCTCCATCAAACGCATCACCAGCAGCAGCAGCAAGTTGCCGCCGCAGCAGCAGCGGCACATGCTCAGGCGACAGCCGCTGCCGGTAAAGTCTTGCGTCCCAATCAACAGCTGCTAATGCACTCATATTCCACAAACGATGCTTCCGTAGGTGAATACAAGTTCACGGTCAACGTGGGCCAGCACCTGATCAAGATCACCGGAGACTGTTGCGAACTAGTACGCGTAAGTGAATTACTGCTTTCTGTAATCCAAAAATTTATTTAATTCCCTTCCTTTTCCAGGTGGCCAAGCTCGTCCTCGATGACTATTTCAGCAGCTCAGAGTTTCTGGCCTCCATTGAAGCTGGTGCCGCATTCGACGGCACTTCTCTGGTGAGCCCAGTGACAACACCATCGACTCCTCTTCCTGGAGCCGGTCCACCGCAATTTTTGCTGCCTGGAACGGATAGCGGCATTGGACTGAACTACGCTTCCTCCTCGGCAACCAACAATAATGGCGAGGGCGATGACGAGGTGTTTGCAGAGCCCAGCAATGGGGGATCTTCGACTAACAGTCAAAATGGATTGGCGAGGTCACGTCGCAGCCACTTTTCGCGCAAAGAGTCGACGCCAGAAACTAAGGGAGTTCGCGAGAAATTTGACGTGGACGAACTGCCAGGACTTAATCCTTTAAAGAGCAATGCATGTAAGAATTAATCCTTTCTTCAGTTTTAACTTTTAGTGAGGGCTTTGCAGGGCCAGACTTGGAGAATTGACTCATAATTAACCAATGCTAATTTATTTTTACAGCTCGCGTTTCTTATGATATTGAACACTTGATCTACTACTCGATGAGTCCACATGCCTGGGCTTTGCCCACAGACTGGCAAAAGATGCAGGAGACAACGCCCTCGATTCTACGCAACAAGGTAATTTCGCCTCTCGATGGCGCAGTCGACAGTATCGCTTACTCGTCGAACTTCCCCAATTCCATTATCACCACTGCACCTAACTCATCAGTAATAACAATTTCGACTGCGCCATCAGCAATAAATACAATAACCTCCACCCCAAACACCAACATCATCAGCACTACCGTTGGAGGAGACAATCCCATAACTGTCACTAACAAGCAATCAAAAGGATTCATCGTTGATCGCGAGTCTCGTCGCCTTCCCAAGCCATCGGCCATGTCCGATCGAAACTTGTATAATAAGCAATTGCAAATCATAACCAATACCGTAGGTGCATCGGTTGCACACCAGGGAAAAAATCGCCAGTCTAACTATCAAGCATCCCAAGTGAGAGCAATTTTCCAACGTTACTGCGAGGATGATGAATTTTCCATGGCCTTATGCGAACCAGAAACGAACAACAATCGTTAACCGTTTCTTTAAATTATTTTTAAGATATAAAATTATTTTACGTTACCGTAATACGTATCGAATATTCATGAATCTCAGTCACAGACAGGCAAACCTTTTTTTCGAATCATTACAATAATGCAAGCCATTAATCATTATCATATAGTCATTAAGTTAAAGTCATACCAACGAAACCAAAACAAATACAAAGTTAAACAACTTGCTAGTCCTAGGCGTAACAATACATCTAATGCATTGAAATTAAAATGTAACTATAGGAAGAATCTGTGTTTTGGCTGTGAAACAGATTAAGTCTTCGCTAGAGATAAACTGAGAACGCGTTTCGAACCGTTTAACAACTAACAACAAAACAACATTTTTGCATTCACACCGACATTTACAAATCTGTAATTAATGTTTAATAAGACTTATAACAACTGTAACAAACTAAGTTTTAAGCGTTTTATCCCCCAAACACATATTCAATACAATTTATAAAAACTAATAAACTTAAGGGCTTAGAAAGTCCGTAACAAAGCTTGGCTGGGTTTAACTGACACGTCGCATACATTGTACTTTAAACCATAACATTTACCTGCATTCTAAACACGCTTACAAACACACCCTAAATGGCTAACTTAGGCAATTAGTTGTTCCATATGTACATATGTTTGTCCAAGGTAAGCTCGACCCTAGTATTGGAAATCTAAGTTTTTTACAATCTATTACTAAACAATATCTTTGTCTGACAACAGGATCTGCAGGATGAGAGCCAGCGCTTCGATGGTGATAAATATCTGGCTAGCATTAAGACTGCCGCCAAGCGAGACATTGTGGCTGCCGATGATGTCGAGACCCTGGATGAATAACCCTACCCAAGGAGCGGTCCAAACTGACAATATAGATAATATGAATAAGTTATCAATGTCCGGGGTGGAGAAAGCTCAGCTTACAGACAGAGCTAGACTATTCTTCAATGCTTTTGGCCCTAGCCTCATCTAACAATCGCAAAAACAAAACGACCAAAAAAAATATTAAAAAATCAAAACTCAATGCTAAACTAACCCTAGAAATTATCAACGAAAAATATCAAAACTGTCAAAATAACTAGAAAATTCAACGAAGCTCTTAGTTAAGTTCAAGCGAAATGGGAATCTGAATTCCCAATATTTACTAATTTACAAAATGCAGCTAACTGAAAAGGCTCGAAACAGGCGTTACGAAGCGGCCTTAACTTTATGGGCCACATTGAATGCATTTTTAGTAACTCAATAGAGAATGACACATTTTTAGTTTGAAATTTGTTTCTCAACCTTCCCTTACTTTGTTTCTCCTTTACGACCAAATAATTCTCAAAATGGAAAAAGAAATGTATTAATTCTATGTGTTTTTATTATTTTTATAATTATTTTGTCACTTGCTCTGAATATCATTTTTCAAGATTTGAAATTGTATTTTGTTTTCTCTAGTCTATGCATCATAGAAATTTGTAATTAATTTTTTGTTAAATTTTTGTGGAGAATTAACAACACTAAAACCACGCCAAATTCTTTGAATTTCTGATTATGCTCTAGTTAATTTATTTTATTTATTTTGTACAAATACAAATCATATATTCTTCAAAAAGATATTTGCAAGGAAAATAAAATGGAATGAAGATCAAACACAAATCGGATTTCGTTTTTAATATGGTGAATGTACATTACATAAATTTATTCAACATATACAAAAAAACAATAAATATAACAATGTATAAGGTTTGATATGTATCATAGAATATTAGCTAGAAGTTAAACCGATCGAAAGACCACGACGATTGTGCGGTTAGAAGAATGTGCTCCGAGTTGCATAACAAGTCAAGTATGTAGAGATGGCGTTAACATCACATATGGTTATTGGTTAGTAATAGATTAACGATCTATTGCACTTAGTTGCCCTATAAAGGCCGTCTGTTCACGAAGGGGCATTGCATCGCGCTTTTGGCATGTACACAAAGCAAATACATTTAGAAAGAGAATGTTAATTAGTCAGTGTCTAATGTGGAGGTGTGTCATCGGATAGGGATTAGAATACAACACCAAGACATCAATAGCATGCTCAACTCGATTCAATATTCACGTACATCGATGTGTGATATGTGGCCCGTTGGCCAGGTGACATATTCAGGTTGCCCTGATGCTTATGGTTGTATGCCCAAATCGCACAGGTGGCCAACAGGGAAACTAGAAAATGTTGGTTTTATAGTTAAGTTAATACGTTAAAGGGTAACTCTTACTCAGCAGAAAGAACATAAAGAAAAGCTGTAGCCAAAAGTGACTGCCACCGCTGCTATCCACAATAATACCCGCTGCAATCGTCACCACCGCCAAGCCAAGATTCTGCACAGACTGACAGCTGAAAAAAAAAATAAGTTAATATTCCAAATTAACCCGAAATCAGATTATTTAACTTACAAGCCGTATGCCGTTCCCAGTTGATATTCAGGCACAATCAACGAAACCAGAGGCCATAAACTAGCAGCTAACATTGAATATGATAATCCCATAATGCTCATTCCAATATACGGATCCCAGTGGGTAAATGTCAGCAGGAAGTGAGCCACCAATGTGGAGATTGTGGCACAGAACACCCAAGTCACATTTCTTCCGACTTTGTCAATCACGAAACCAAACAGGGGCGATGCTATTGCAGAGATCAGGTAGACAATCGAGTTGACCGTGTTCGCCTCATCCGGAGTCATGTGAAAATTGCTGACGAAGAAGGCCTGACCCAAAGCCACGAAGGGAAAAATAGCCACATAGTATGCCACGCAGACCACCGACACCATCCAAAAGTCCAGCTTAAAAGTGACAATATCGCTGAGTTTGGCAATCTCTCCTCCTGGATTATTATTTCGCTTGAGAATACGCTCCGCCCGTTTGTCCATCCAACCTAAAATAAGAATATATTTAACATTATATGTAACAATATATGTACTTTAAAAGCTATTTGAAAATGAAGTTCCTAAAAGATAGACTTCAAGGGAAAAATAACCTACCCAGAATCAACGTGCAGATTAGCGACATTACACACGTCGAAGAAGCCAGGAACAGAGCCACTCCTAGACCCGTGTAACCCGTGTACGTTTTCGAGACATAGCCATATAAGGGTTGCATTATCCAAAAGTTGACGGTGCTGCCGAAGCGAGCCACCGATAATTGCAGTCCGAAGACCATGTTCAACTCCTTTCCCTTGAACCATAACACCGCATAGCTGTTTTGGGCCACAGCCAGCGACTCAGCCCCAATGCCAAATACAAAGCGTCCCACGATCATCAACCAAAAGTGTCCTAGCACTCCGCCGGTGGCGAAAATTAGTTGGCCAACGAGCACGATCAGCATGTAGATAATAGTGCCCAGGCGGATACCAAACACCCGGTCAATAAGGAAGCCGCCCACAAAGCACAGCACGATATTTGGCCACGAATAGATAGAGTAGATCAGTGTAAACTCGGTGGAGCTAAGGTCAAGTTCCTTTTGGAACACATCCTGCAATGCACCGGGATTATCGTAGCAGAAATAGGAACCTAAATAAAGGTTTTAGAATTAGTATCTATTATTAAACTAAATAGTCAATAGAGTTAAGAATACTAACTAATAAAATTTTTGTTTTCCTTAAATATATTTAGAGGTTGAACCAGATATTCAAAAACTTATTAAAAACTTTTTCAATTTGAAATTTTTTCAAGGGTTAAAAATTATTTTAAAGTATTATTACTTTAAATAAAGAGTAAAGCTCTTTAGTTCCGAATTTAGTCTATTTACTTACCAAAGCCAAGGAGGCACATGAAGAGCAGGGCCAGAAATCGGTGTGGAGTGCTCGAAGGATCGCAGCATCCTGTGTCCTTTTGCGAGCCAGCGAGCTCTGTGTCTCGGGTACTGCGACGTCGCACCACAGGATGTACTTCATCATCGCCACTGCTGCAGCTGCTATTAGAGGTGTCCACAATGGGTTTACGTTCCTCGCGTGACATTATTTCCAATTTTTGTCGTCAGGAAAATGAAGGAATGACAGGAAATTTGAGTTGTGCGATGGTAATTGCTTTTTGTGAATCCTTCTTGTGGAATTCCTGCTCGCGTGGACGGTGGGCGGTAGGCGGGGGTGGGACCGGGCTGTGGCCCTACTGTTGTTGCTTATCACTAGACCACACCATTATGCCTTGTTGTTGCTGCTGCTGGCACAGTATACGTGCAGTATTGATTATTCACACAAACAGATGATGGACTATGGAAAGGTTGGATGGGGGATGTAACAGTTAATCTGCAATACAAAAAAAAAAATTGAAAATTGCATTCACACAGTAGATTTTCCACACACACACACGCACAACCTAGCGGATAGAAAAATGTCACGGGTGAGTGTGCGTTTGTATGTGTTTGCTAAGTAAACACGACAGATCTTGTCGTCCGTTTGTTGACTAACGGTAAAATTGGTAATCAATTAAGCCAATTCATGCGCGTAACTTTATAACTTGACACCTGATTTAAGGTTTTACTAGTTTATTTCCATATTGACAACAGTGTTTGTATATATTTCGATACATACACAAATGTCAATAAACATGCATATGTAAATGCCGTATATCACCAGGAGGGATTAAAAACCAAATGCCCCGTTATCAAAGTCAACAAATAGTCACACACTAATTAATCACTAGTCCATGGTATTATTTTGTATTATTTACATATGATTTTTTAAAATTGTGATTATAGCGGGCTGATGAATCAAAGAAAAATATTCTTAATACTCTTTAAATTATTTTGAAAAACAAAAACGCTTTTGTGTTGATAAATATTCTATATATTCAACAAGTTGGGAACTTACGGTTTATTTCTGTCCCTTGTCGGGAGAAGAATGTTCGCTTTTACCTGATTCCTTACCTGTAGCTGTAGGGATGGAATTTGAATTAGTTATCGACGCATTGTCTATCGATATATTCAGATATATTTGCTATAAAAAAACACCGTTATAGTAAGAAGTAATTTAATTCAAAGTTCTTAAAAACAATGTATACATATACTTTTTTAGGATAAACTTTAAAAGATGAAAACAAGTCCCAAATATATATATTAAAAAAATATAACTATTATTTCTCTTCTCTTCATAACGGTAAATAGTGTACATTTTTGCTTATCGGTAGTTGCAACTTTGCCCGCCCACGCATCACTATCCAGTGTTGACTAGCGTCCATTGCTCATCAGGTGGCAACCGTGTGATTTTACACCAAGCAAAACAACTATTATTATTATTAAATTCAGCACAAAGTTCAATGGTTTTTAGGACTGCACGATCACAATTCAATCAGCTACCTCGGATATAGCGATAAGTATGTAAGTGAATATCCTAAATGGATAGCTTCAGCCGAATCAACTGGCATTCGGCATTTTGTGCAGTGTAAAGGCGCCAACGATGTTGTCTTCGTCTCGCACAACGTAAATTTATTCAAAGACCCACTGCCACATTTTGATACGCTCCCGAGTACCTAAACACGTTTCGTATGCTTGCATGTCCATTTCGTAATGCCACCAAATAGGAACTAAGGTCTGTCAACGCGAGATGGCGGCGATAAAGGTGAGTTCAAGATTTCCCCGTCGAGCACACAAACAATGGCCCATTTAAATGCGTTGTAAACCTACAGAACATCACCCTGGGCATTCTGTACGGCCTGTGGGACAGCATACGTGGCATGACATTGGTCCTGCACATTGATGACGAGGTAAATCGGCAGAATGCTGAACAGGAGCACCGCCACCAGATACGCCGCACTGACAAGGATCGTTATGAACGTGCCAGGAGATCACCGTCGCCTGTTCCTAGTTCAGCAGCTGCCATGATCCGAGAGGAGTACGCTAAGCAGGCGGAGCAGAATGCTGATGAGCGCACTCTCGAGAAGATCTTGGGCAAAAAGGCTGCCGCCCATGAGCAGCAACCTCAAGGGTATGTGACAACAAAGACCTCATACTTACAATATATACATAAATTGCGCATTTGATTTATAATCCCACCATACAGGGAGAAGAAGATCGCCAAGAAACTCTTTAAGTGCTGCATGCTCAATGGCGGTTTCACCTGGCTGAGCATTGTCCTGTTCGAGTCCGCCCTGCTGCCCACACTTAAATTCTGCCTTACCATCTTCTATGGAGCACAATCAGAGACCCTGCCCGTGGTCTGGGGCTGGCTGCATCCTATACTGTCGCTGCTGTTCGGCATGATGTGGGTATTGCCCATTTTTATGCTATCAAAGATTGTGAGTTCATTGTGGTTCGCGGATATAGCCAATGCCGCATATCGCGTGAGGAAGGGTCGTCCGCAGCTAATCCCCGGGATAAGTAAACTAGTGGCGGACTTCCTGTTTAGTATGGTAGTGCAAATGCTGTTCCTGGTCCAGAGTATGCTGGTTAACCTAGTGCCCGTGAAATATGTGGGCTCCTCGCTGTGCTTTGTGCATTTGTGCCTACTATATTCACTGTACTCCTTCGAGTATAAGTGGTTCAATATGGGCTGGGAGCTGCATAGACGCCTGACCTACATCGAGAAGAACTGGCCCTACTTCTTTGGCTTTGGCATCCCGCTTACCGTGCTGACGAATCTATCCAGCTCGGTGATCGTCAGCAGCTGCATCTTCTCCATCTTTTTCCCCCTGTTTATACTCAGCGGCAACGAGGCGAAGCCCATTGTGGACACTACGTAAGTGTTTTTGATTTGGTAATACAGTCCAGCTTCACTAAATTAATTTTTACTTAGTAACACTGAACTAAAAAGTAACCAATTTCAACTAAAAACTGTTTCTCTATTACACTACATGGTATGACTATGTTTGTAATTTGAAGAAATCTGTTATATATATTTTTACATTTTGCGATCAGCAAAATTTGGTATAAAGAAGCTCTTCTGTACTCTAGCTATAAATATAAAATAACTAAAAATTTTACTTCCGCCTAGTGAGATCTCGCTACGTCTCTTCTCGCCGGTGGTCTTCATATCGAACCTGTGTTTCGGCGGCAATCCGTGGAGTAAGGCCAACCGACTGAGTGCAATGCAGAGGCAGCAATATGAGTTGCAACAGCGTCAGCGTCTGCTCCAGCGGGATGAGCAGCTTCTTAAGCAACGCAAGCAGCAATATGTGCAGCAGCAACGTTTACAACAAGAGCAGCTGATGCGACGGGATCGCTCCCATTCGCGGTCACAGACGCCGCAGCTGGGACAGCCGTATCGCTATGCCCAGGCGCCCGTTTTTGATGCGGGAAGGGTGCGGGACTCCTCAGCCTCCTCCACGCACAGCTCCACTTCGCCGAGCATTAATAGCCACCGGCCGCCGCCTTATTATGGGAGCTCGCTGCGCGGAGCAGCGCCTCTTGTGCCCACTCCGGTGCCTGGGGCACCGAGAGCTCCACTCACCCCGCCCGTGATACGCCAGGAGTCGGGGCCCGATGACTGGAACTTGTGAGATTTATGCTTATACACGCAACGTAGGCTTTAGCTATATATAATTCGATCTGTGTAATGTACGTATCATCTACCTATCTAACCATCGTGAACTGTGTAAGTTAAAGATAACTCTAGGTCTACGCATAATGACAATGTTCGCTAGTCGACACCGCCACCAACACAACGCCCCATACGCATCGGGCATGACTATATATATAGAGTGGCTATATCTGAAATGCGGCTCGCGCAACTGCTGCAATAATCGTTTACATGTTTTATTTTAGGCGGCGTTTTTCTCTTTAATTTTTGCTCGTAGGGTATGCTCTACACTAGAAATTACGTCGGGCGTAAAGTTCATTTAATGTATAATTAATCAAAAATAAAAATAATTTTGTACTTTCGTCAATTGTTGTTGTTAGTTTTTTAATAGGCAACGGCTGATTAAGCGTTATCAGTATGATTTGTCTGGGTTTGATTAGAAATAGTGTGAGTCAGATGCGGAAGAGTAATAGATTAATAATTTTGATTACAGACTATCAAACTTCCTTAAAATTGATTATATTTGCTTATTTAATATTTTATAATTAAAAATTATAGACCCCAAAATAAACCCCAGTGTAACCTCATTTCCCGTATTAACACTCCACCCCCATTCCAATAATAATTTCATGTTGATTTGACAATATAACAAGCCCCTCAATACCTCATAATAACTCCCCCATTGTTAGAATCCTCTTTCCGTAACCGCCACCAATTAACGCTTGAGTTCCAACACGAATAATCGAATCGGGATATGTGTTCATGTTTGGATTGGAGTAAGTGTAATGTGGGCTCGTGGGCGATTACCCACCAAATTGATTATCACCAAGGTTACACCCATGTGTCCACACATTGTCCGTGTTGAAAGTGAAATTGTCCGTGGCACTATATCGTATCCTATTTTTTAAAAGCGTAATTTCCTGCACAGTAGCAATTTATTGTTCGTGTCGTGCGGTCTATTGTCAGCTCCTGGAATTCTGAATCGAAACCTATATATGTACAAATCACTATGATTTTGGTGAACCTACAAACTTTCAAAATCGTATGGCTGGTTTTACTTCTGTGGCAGTTGAGCAGCTTGAGTTTTGAGGTTTCTGCGCAAACATCTCAAAACATCAATGTCCGTAAGTCGATCGATGTCCATATGAGTTTGGGTTTCTGTGATAGTTTCTGTGATGGTAGGCTTGTATTTTTAAAAGTTAGCTATAGAACAATTTTTCAGGGTTTCAATAAATGGGGATAAATCTAAGTATTAATCTATAGAATATTTGAAGGAACATTTTTGATATTAGTTTTAACCAGGAGATAAAAATAGAAAAACATCGAAATATATCTTAAAATTATTTTTAGAAAGCAACCATACTTTAATGGTGCGACTTAATTTATTTAATCGAATAAAAGCATTTCATGGACTTTAAGTAAACTAATTAGATAAAAACTACAGAGAACGACATTCGTTGGGTGGATTAATGGGGTGGTGCCAGTCATAATGAGTTCTGGGGCAAGTAAACAAACGCAATGCCACGTAATACTTTCGACCAATGCAATTTTTACCAATATCATATAATCCTTTGGGATAGTGTTCATCAACGAGGTGAATAATGAACCGGCTGCCAAGGCGGTGGAAGTGGTGCTCACCTATTTGAAGAAGAATATGCAATATGGTGTTTCGGTGCAGCTGGATTCCATTGAGGCGAACAAAACTGATGCCAAGGTGCTATTGGAAGCCAGTGAGTTTTAGTTGGGGCTGTCCTCCGATTCGGTTCTTAATATTTTGCCCCTCTTAGTTTGCAATAAGTACGCCACAAGCATTGAGAAAAAACAACCCCCTCATTTGATTCTGGACACCACTAAATCGGACATTGTCTCTGAGACGGTGAAGAGCTTCACTCAGGCTTTGGGATTGCCCACCATTAGTGCATCCTATGGCCAGGCGGGAGATTTGAGGCAGTGGCGTGATTTGGACGACTCAAAGAAGAAGTATTTGCTGCAGGTGATGCCACCGGCGGATATTATTCCCGAAGTCATCCGCAGTATAGTGAGGTATCTGAATATCACTAATGGTAAGAAGATTATTATGCTTTTACATCTTTATATATTTTGGAATGTAATTAAGTAAAAATATTAAGACCTTTTTATGGTTTAGAAAGCTAATTTCCTTACAAGATTACTAATTCGTTTTCTTGACCAGCTGCAATCCTTTACGATGATACCTTCGTAATGGACCACAAGTACAAGTCCTTGCTGCAAAACATCCAAACCCGTCATGTGATCATTGCCATAGCTCAAGAAGGACAACGGGAGCGCGCAGAGCAGATCGAAAAGCTGCGTAATCTGGACATAAACAACTTTTTTATTCTCGGAAATATTAAATCAATCAGCCAGGTTCTAGAATCCGTAAAGCCAGCCTATTTCGAACGCAATTTTGCCTGGCATGCCATAACTCAATTCGATGGAGATATAAGCAGTCAGCGGGATAATGCGACCATAATGTTCATGAAGCCCTTGGCGTATACGCAATTTCGAGATCGCTTGGGAATGCTACGAACTACATATAATTTGAATGAAGAGCCTCAGTTATCATCGGCATTTTATTTTGATTTGGCACTCCGGAGTTTTCTCACCATAAAGTAAGTTATAAACATATAGTATATAAATCTACATTTATTTTTCTTGATTAGAGAAATGTTACAAAACGGCGACTGGCCAAAGAACATGGAGTATCTTAACTGCGACGATTTCCAAGGCGGCAACACACCGGACAGGAAAGTGGATCTTCGGCAATTTTTTACCAAGGTGGATGTTTCCTCCTGTATGGCTGCCACCTTATTTCTCTAAACGCTGTTTCCGTTTCATAGATTAACGAGCCGACATCCTATGGAACCTTCGATCTGGTCACGCAACCCAATATGGACTTCAATGGCCACAGCTATATGAAATTCGAAATGGATATAAGTGTGCTACAGATTCGTGGTGGTAGTTCCGTGAACAGCAAATCGATTGGCTCCTGGACAGCCGGCCTAGACTCGCCCCTGACCGTAAGGGATGAGGAGCAGATGAAGAATCTCACTGCGGATACTGTTTATCGAATCTTTACTGTTTTGGTGGGTCAAGATAGGGGCTTACGTCGGATGCATTAATAATATGGATTTAAATTTTATAGTTAAATATTATTTTATCATATTTTAAATTTATTTTTTGTAGTTCCGCTTTTTATGTTTTGCTTCACTTTTTCCTGAAAACTTTGAATATAAACGATTTGTAATTCAATTCTTTATAAAATAACCATAATAATAAAGGTAAATGCACATTTATTAATTTTAAATTTATTGTTATTTGTAGTTTGTGACTATCTAAATGTAAAAACAATTTACAATTAATCTTAAATATTTAATTATTATACGTGTTTTACAGCAAGCTCCCTTCATTATGCGAGATGAGACGGCTCCGAAAGGATACAAAGGATATTGCATTGATTTGATCAATGAGATTGCTGCAATTGTCCATTTTGATTACACCATCCAGGAGGTGGAAGACGGCAAGTTTGGCAACATGGACGAAAATGGCAATTGGAATGGCATTGTGAAAAAACTAATTGATAAGCAGGCGGATATTGGTCTTGGTAGCATGTCTGTGATGGCAGAACGCGAGATTGTCATTGATTTTACTGTTCCGTATTATGATCTGGTTGGGATTACCATCATGATGCAGCGACCAAGTTCACCAAGTTCGCTGTTCAAGTTCCTTACTGTGCTGGAGACCAATGTGTGGCTTTGTATCCTGGCGGCCTATTTCTTTACCAGTTTTCTGATGTGGGTCTTTGATCGCTGGAGTCCATATAGTTATCAAAATAATAGGGAGAAGTACAAGGATGACGAGGAGAAGCGGGAGTTTAATCTAAAGGAATGTCTTTGGTTCTGCATGACTTCATTGACACCTCAAGGTGGTGGCGAGGCCCCTAAAAATCTTTCTGGACGCCTGGTGGCCGCCACTTGGTGGTTGTTTGGGTTGGTTTCTCTCCTTTATGTTCTATAAAAATATATATTTTAATGATACATTGTTTTGTCCATAAGCTTCATCATTATTGCGTCGTACACTGCCAATTTGGCTGCCTTTTTAACCGTCTCTCGCTTGGACACACCTGTTGAAAGCTTGGATGACCTGGCAAAGCAGTACAAGATCCTGTATGCACCATTGAACGGTTCATCGGCCATGACATATTTTGAGCGTATGGCTAATATCGAGCAGATGTTCTACGAGATCTGGAAAGATTTATCCCTTAATGACTCACTGACTCCGTTGGAGCGTTCTAAGCTTGCTGTTTGGGATTACCCTGTTAGTGATAAATACACTAAAATGTGGCAGGCCATGCAGGAGGCAGTTCTGCCATTAACTCTCGACGAGGCAGTGGCTCGGGTTCGAAACTCAACAACTGCCACCGGATTTGCCTTTTTGGGCGATGCCACCGATATTCGTTACCTACAGTTGACCAATTGTGATCTTCAGGTAGTCGGCGAGGAGTTTTCCAGAAAACCTTATGCTATCGCTGTTCAGCAAGGCTCACATCTTAAGGATCAGTTTAACAATGCGTAGGTATTCCCAAACATATCTTATCCATATATTTAACAAAAAATCCTTTTAGAATCCTGACCCTTCTCAACAAGCGACAACTGGAAAAGCTCAAGGAGAAGTGGTGGAAGAACGATGAAGCTCAGGCCAAGTGCGAGAAGCCGGAAGATCAATCAGATGGCATATCCATTCAAAATATTGGTGGTGTCTTTATTGTGATCTTTGTGGGCATTGGAATGGCCTGCGTTACGTTGGTCTTTGAGTACTGGTGGTATAGGTACCGTAAAAACCCCCGTATCATCGATGTGATCGAGGCTGAAGTAGATCGATCGAATCTTAAAGATCATCATGGCAAGTTAGCTGATGGCGTGATTCTGGGGAATTCTGGCGAGAAGTTCGAAAAGTCAAATGCCGCACTTCGTCCGCGCTTTAATCAATATCCGGCTACATTTAAGCCACGTTTCTAGTTTAAGAATTATAAAAATGAATCGAATATTACAGTAAAACGTGCACTTGGAAGTCTACGTCTAGTATTTAAGAACTTTTAGACACTTTGTGCACTTTTATTCAAATCGTAATAAATGTTTAAAAGAATATTTAGCGTTTTTTTTTTGTTAATAAAAACTATGAGAATTATTACCTAAATTGTATTTAGTTTTTGATAAACCGTTAAGATGTATTTGTTCTGTAAATTAGTATTTTATTAGTATTAAAACTAAAACCAAATTTATGGTAATACTATTTTTTTTCAGTTTGGCCACACTGCATCAAAACACTGCCCAAAAAGTCAACATAAGACTTCGCCTTCTCCCGCGCCCAACAGTTGAGTTTTTAATTACCCGCGATGGCAGACAGTTCAGATGAGGAATACCTGGGCACGGAATGGATTTCGTATAGCGAACGCTCTGATTGGGATGATGTAGAGCCACTCGCCCAGGATGACGGCCCCAATCCGGTGGTGGCTATTGCCTACAGTCAAAAGTGTGAGTAATGCTGTCGGCTTTATCTTTGGAAGCTACTATAACTGAGAATGTACATATATCCGCGACCCGCAGTTCGCGAGGTTTTCGACTACATGAGAGCGATAATTGCGCGCGGGGAGAAGAGCCAGCGTGCTCTGGACCTAACTACTGATGCACTGCGTCTGAACCCGGCAAACTACACGGTTTGGCAGTACAGGCGTGATATTCTTCGCGAACTGAAGGCAGATCTCAACGCAGAGCTGGAGTATTTAGGCAAAGTTATTGCCCAGAATTCGAAGAACTACCAGGTGTGGCACCACAGACGCGTCATCGTGGAAATGCTTAATGATCCTAGCAACGAACTAGAGCTCACGGAGTTGGCCCTGGTAAACGATGGAGATGCCAAGAACTATCACGCCTGGCAGCACCGTCAATGGGCAATTCGCAGCTTCAAGTAAGTATATGTATATATGTATATATTATTCAAATCGATGATTAAATATAGATTAGGTCAATTCCTATTTGAATCCATTTATTCATAAAGGTTCCTTTTTATTCAAAATATTCCTATTTTATTTTCAGACTCTACGACGACGAGCTTAACTTTGTCGATCGTCTGATTTGCGAGGATCAGCGCAATAATTCGGCCTGGAACCAGCGTTTCTTTGTTGTTAAGCATTTTGGGTTCACGCCAGATTTAATCCAGCGGGAGCTGTCATACACGATGAACCGCATTCGCATCATTAAAAACAACGAAAGTGCCTGGAACTATTTGGTGGGTGTGATGCGGCAGGGTGACAATGGAAAAGCACAGCTAAACAGTTACCCGGAGGTCGTGGGATTTGTGGAGGAGATCTACCAGGCCGGCAATCGATCGCCATATCTTCTGGCCTTCCTAATCGATTTGTACCAAGAGCAGGCACTCCACCTTAAGGTTGGCGATAGCGATCAGCTAGCCCGTAAAGTTTACAGCCTTTGCGAGGATATGGCCTCTAAACATGATGTGATCCGCCGAAAGTACTGGCACTATGTTGCCACACATCTGAAGAATCAGTTGAACAAGATCCAGGAACAGCAGCAGGAATAGTGCAGGTCCAAAATTCATTTTTGTTTAGTTTTAAGCCTTAATCGACGTACTTAGGCCTTCTTTATAAATAAATAAAAATTAAATTTACCAGTCAAGTGAATATCTAAAACATTGCAAAACCCAAACATTGCCACATGACATGTCGTTGTGTGTGCCGCATCTGTCCCACTTTGTTTATCTAAGTGAGACGCTGTGTTTGTACACGTAAATTTCATTAACAATGAGCAGATAATTTTAGCGCAGTGTGTACTCCAGATGAGGCCAATCAGCGGTTAAAGTGAGCTCGTAAATAATGGAAATAATTTAATGCTGTTAATGCTAGGCTTTAGGAAGAGCTTCTGTGTTTTGTGTGCAAATAAATGTGGGAATATTTGAGCAACAAAGTTAGAAGCGTAGAAATTACTTCAGAAAACTAAAGCTTCCAAGTAGAAATTATCTTTCCCTTCAGTTATCTTGTTTAAGATGATACTGAAAATTACTAGCACTTTGTTATCTTTTTCGTCAGAGACAGGAAGAACCTTCAGTGTGCTGTCTCAATATTGTTATTTATTTAAATTTGCTTCTTTTAGTTTTTTTTTTTTTTTTTTTTTGTTTGTTTTCTCATTTGTTTTTAGTTCGAGTACATACAATATAGCAGTTGTAATATATAACTTTTTCATTAAATTTGATTTTCTTGCATATATATTGAGATTCTGTTTTTTGCATTTTTATAATAGAAAACCTCCATAGATGACTCAGATCTTCACCAGGTAGGGTTAGACCAAAATCATCCCTGGGGAGAGTGGGAATCGGGTTCGGGAGTATGTACTTAAAATGAAGCAGAAGACATCTTTGGCGTGTTTTTTATTTTGTTTCTTTCTTTTTAGTTCAGCTAAATAGGAGCAAAATCATTGAGTACTCGTTTGCATAGTTTAATAAAATTTCGTAATAATAAAATATATATTTTTATTCTGTATTTTTGTTTGGTTTTCGCTTCGCTTCGTATTTTTTTCTTTTTCATTCTTGGATTGGGGTATATATATATATAAATTTGAAAAAAGCCTATAAGTCCAAATTTAGTTGGTACAAGACCATTTAAAATCAAAGCACTTCGTTTGGGTCATCGAAAGTAATCAATATTATTTGAAAAATATATATGTAGTATTCTGAAACGGTTTCTTTAAAAAGAGGAAAGTGTGCAAAGCTCTGTTCCATGGCCCAAGCGAGAGATTTGTTTGGTTTTTTTTTGGTAGCAAAGACCGTTGATTCGATATTATTATCCTGTTCAGAGATTTTGCGTGGAGAGCCAGAAGAGAGAAGTAGTTTGTGTGTGTTTTGTTTGTTTAGTTCGTTTAACAATTTGATATATAGAGTTAATATATATAATAGTTTTAATAAATTGATGCGCTCCTTGCATTTGCTTTGAGCCATTCGGTTTGTGTCTCTTGTTCGTTCTTGGAGTTCATTTTTGTAAAAGCATTTTTAGCAAAAAATTAAAAATTCTCTCTGTATTCGGTTCCCGTTTAAAATGTCTGACTTCAGCGCGAGTTCTTGATCGATTAAACCCCCCGGTTAATGTTTAGTTCTTGTCATCGAATCCTAATCAATACCCATATAAAATAAATCCCTTGATTCTGGCCGAAAATTCGCATTCTCCGATCGACGCCGCTGTGTTTCTGTGTGAGGAAGCTTCATATACCATCTATAAATATACTCGTACAGTTTCTCATTAATATAATTGTTTAAAAAATCAACGCCACTTGATGTGTGCCATGTCCTGTCTGTCCTAAAGAGTCCTAAGAGGTGCTTACAGCTTTAAGCATAAGTTTAGCGTAGGCGTAGCGCACCGATCGATCTCGTGCCCCGTATTGTTAACCCAACATGGCCTACTTGTCCTCCCCGATGCCCTCGTCGGTCGTGGTCTTGCGCTCCCTCGCCTCGTCACCGCTGATATCACATTTTTCAGCCAACATATCCTCGATGCCTTCGTCCACCGTTTGGCTCTCGCCGGGCACATGCTTGCGCCGCAGCTTGGTCACCACCACGCACTCGCCCTGCGGCAAGGGCGGAAACTTTCCATAGGACGTGTTGCCTATGGTTCCCACGGTGCTGTCCTCGTAGCAATCTGGAGTCATCCGCACCCGGCACGTCTCGAAGGCCTTCTCGTAACCCAGTTTCGTATACAGGCTGCGGGACGCATCGTTTCCAGGACGTATCACAACGAAGGGCGTGTAGCCGCGCTCGATCACCAGTTGGGTCAGCGACTTAGCCAGACGGATTCCATAGCTGTGGGAAGGATTATATATTAGAATCATGTAAATATTTATGTGATAGTCACAGTTCTACTTACCCCATGCGCCTAAAGTCTGGACGTGTTTGCATTGAGAACATGGCACCGTAATATGAGTGAACCATCCAGGCGGCTAGCTCTCCAGTTTCCTTGCGAAAGATGCCCAAGCCAGGGAGCTTGCGGACAAGGATGTCAAACAATTGGACGCACTCGATTTCGTTGGCAGGATATAGATCATGGATTCCCTGCACGTTGTCCATGTTCAGCAGACGCATCTCCGCATCTTCCGGCAGCGGATCTAGCTCCAGATCGGTGTTTAGCTTGTTGCACACGTAGATATCACCACTTAGTCGTTCCATCACACCGAACTTCGAGTAGAAGTCATCCAGGCGATTCATAATGGCGATGTGCGTAAAGTTCAGGTACATAGGCTTCTGCCAATCTATAAGTACATCTTCGGTGCGCATCATATCGACATGCTCGATGTGTGCGGATGGGCAAAATATGCCAAGTGTTTGGTAAATATTGTTGTGCGGCTAAATGAATATTATTTGTTTATTAATTTTTTGTTCAAGTAAATGAACTAATTCTGTACTTACCGCAAGCGTGCATCCTGGAAAATGGAGAATTATCGGTTTGTCGGGCCAATCTTTAGCAACATAAAACTTAAAATCCCAAATACGATCATTCAGGTACGTTTTTATGGTTTGATGAAACTGCAAAGAGAAAGGGTTTTATTAAAATTGTTCGTGTTTATAACAAATAAATTAAAAAATCATTAATAAAATTAAATAACCCTAGTTTGTTTCTTTAAGCACTCTCCATATTTAAACAAAACAGATGCCGTAAAGCATTTTCCCAGCTGTTGGCATCGAATTCCCAGAGCTGTTGGTAACCGCCCTGGAAAAAGTTGCTCGCTAAAAATCGAAACTTTAAGCAACTCCAGTGGTGGCCAAATCCTTGAGGCCGGTGCCAAGCCATAGATATAGCCAGAACAAGTACAAAAGCACGTGATGTTCGGGGCGGAATGGCATTAAAAATTGAACAAAAATACAAGTGTAAACAGTGAAAACAGGTCAACAAAAAAATGCGAGCCCGGCTTTGAGGGTTTGGGATTGCATGACTTGTGGTCTCGGTCTCGGCATTTGTAACGCCTCCAGACTACAAAAAAACACCTTCTCTCCTCCCGAACTGCAGGTAATTGTTGGTAAATTATCTGAGAATTGGGCGTGGCAACTGGGGAATATCTTTGTGCCAAGTCGGGAGTACAATTTTCAGAGGAAATAAAGATGCCAAAATATAAAAGCAGTGAAGTGTTTAGCATTTTTATACGCACCTTTAATGATTCCGGCAGATAGCGTTCTAAAGTTACCAAAATTTCTGGAAGCTCTGATTCATGCACCAAACGAAAGTGTTTACCTTCAGGAATGATTTCCATTTCTGTAACGAAAATAAAGCCAGGTTAACCTTTTGTGTAATGTATATTACCTCATGTACAAATATGTATAAGCGAATTTTTCTTTCGGTAATGCTTGTATATTTAGAATCCCTATACTTCCATCAAGGTCTCACGTTTTGGCCTCTTTCAAGGCCAAAAGCTCAACAATAGAAAAGTTGGAGAAGCAAAGTCCCTTCACACCGTTGAGAAAAGAGGGAGTCTAACGGAACCGGAGCACACACGTCCGGATGTTGAAGATGCTTTGCCGCAAATGGTTTGACTGAATGTGGATTGGCTCCCCATATCCATCCAAACCTATGGCCCCCAGCTACTTAGCCATTCAAATTGGTTGTGCATTGGAAGGACATCCGCAATTGAGCCAAATTAGCAGGAAAGTGCAATGCCAAAACAGGTAATCACCATCAAATTTCGCCCAATAATCCATTTCATTCGATTAACTAAAATTTCCGTCAATTATTGTGATTAATTTATGACATAGTTGCACAAGACGTAATAGCTTTTGGGTAACACTTATATAGAATTCTCGACCTAGTTTTTCTAAAGTCTATAGCCTTAACCGAAGGCAGTATTTAAAATAATAATTATTAAACTTAGTTAGCATTTCTTAGTACGTGAATCTGTGATTATTTCGGAATATATATTCTCCGCTTAATTTTTGTTTTCTTGTTTTCATCGCAAGATTGATGGCCGTTGTGATTGATTGGCGAATGCGCCAAATATCATTATCCTTCACTCGTCCATGGCATGTGCCACTCCCCCTTTTTGCAGCCAGCACCCTTACCTACTGTGTTACTATGACTATTTATTGCAGTTTTTTGTGTGCCCAAAACGAATGTAATAATGGGGCACATGCTGGCTGGAATTAGTATTAGTCATGTTGTACATAAGCCAAGGTGGAAGGCAGCAAGGCGTGACAATGGAGGAGTACGAGGACTAGACTACTGGCCAAGATATGCCACGTATCCGCATCACGTCTGATTCGGCTCAGACGGTGCTTAGCACTTGTGTCTCAAAGCAAAATCAATATCAGACCTGAGCATTTGCTATTCCTGTTGAAAAGACTATTCCTTGTCCTCAGGGGAAAACATATCCATATATTGGGTGCCATAGATATCGGAAGGGATTTAAAGTCACTCTTTAAGCTCTTAAAGTAGAAATGTTTGGAAAATTATAGGTCTTATTCCTTAATGCTCGATCTTCCAACAAAAAAAAAAAAATATTCGAAAACATTCGTTAAGCCTTAAGTGGAAATCAAATTAACTTTAATTAGACAGACTTTCTTATTATTCAAAATAATTATATTTTTAACACAATAAAATATATTTGAGATCTTAAAGTTTTCTTATCCGTTTATAAGTAAAACTTTTTATATTTCTCTTTGTGTAACTTTCCGTGTTGCACCACAAAAAAATAGTAAAGCTGGTGGGAGTATTAGAACGATGGGTCTGATATGAAAGTTTTTGTTGATTTTATGGATAAAAATACCGTTGACATTTCACAGCGACACCCCCGGCGGGGTTCGAAAAGAGACGCGACACCGCAGGTGCCGACATCGCCCCGAGAAAGGGCCCAGCCATGTTCGTATTCGTATTCGCATTCCAATCCCAAGCCCTTTCTAAATGGCCCGTAGACTACCCCTCCCACAACTGCCTGCTCCTTTACCTGTGGCATGCTATATCGCACATGTCAGCCAATTTATTTTGGCTACATTTGCTCTTTTTTCGGCCTAATTATTGAGCTGCCATATGGCTGCGATGCGTTAAATTTTAATACCCTGGCCGGAAGGGCATCATGAATTGGTCATGAGTTGAGTTCCCTTGAATCAGAATGGGACCGGAAGTATCAGGGTGAGAAGCGGCGAAAGTGAAAAGAGAATGGATAAGTATTAATTATAAATAATATGATTACACAGAAAAGAATAAATTTAAAGAAATAAAAGAGAAGGAAACTCGAAAAATTAATTAAAGTAAAAGAAACTGCAGGGGAAGTGAAATAAAATTTGATACAGTTTTGTCAAAATGTAAGGATCACAGGAGGTAAAAGGATAAATGGGTAGAAGGAAGGCGAATTTTAATGCCCATTAAACCGGAAGAAGTGATATTTGTAGATCGTCTTAAATGGGTAGGGAATGGTGTTATCAGATGAGTCATATATTATATGTTGTAAAATATTTTCATAAATATTAATGATCAGACGTGGTGTAATCCCATCGAAAAACAAATTTCTAAGAACCCTTGGCGGCTGATTACAGATGCAGTTTCTTGAGGCGCATCCACGCTAATTGACATGCACATGTGCATTTTCAGGAATGGCGGGCAGAAAAGTAAGCGAAATGTTCTCAATTAAAATGAAAAAATCAGATACAATCCCAAAAATGTACATAGGGCGGACCTCCCCCTGTTCTTAAAAAAAAAATTAATCCCCACAATGTTTTGCTTATGAAGTGCACTTACAAAAAATATTAATTCCGTTGACCTTGTGTGAATTTGGGGCTGCCTTGGCTGGTGGTTCGGCTTCTGCTTCAGCTTTTGGTGGTTGTGGTGGTGGTGGTGCTGCTGCTTTTGCTTAGCTTTTGCGGTTTTCGACTTTATCCTCAAGGCGTGTCAGCTTTGCGTGTGCGATATATATTTATATTTATTTTATACGCTCACCCAATTATTTGTGATTTATGTTTGGAAATTTATAAAATTAATTATTTTGTTTTGTCAGTTATTTGTTGGTTTTGAAAAAGTGCAATATGAAAATAATTGTTGTTTATAAATTTATCTTTTTTGTTTTTTATTTGCAAATCACAGATGTCTTTATTAGAAAAATTTAGTTATTATTTTAGGCTCTTTTAGTTGATAGTGTTTTTTTTATTGGAAATTCTGGAAGTTCTTATTTCATTCTGCTTCTTTTTGGTTAGGCCTTGTTTGAATGGAGATGTCGGCAGGCTGTGATTGATTTTGCTGTCGATTAATTCTTTTGCAGGCCTAACTCGATGGACGCGACTGTTGTGGGCTGTCTCCGCCTCGATTTGCAGTTAGTTCTTGTCTGTGTTCCCCTTCCCCTTCTTTGCTCCTCTTCTCGTTGGCTTTTTAGCCCCCGTTGCACCTCCACCACTGATGGCCTAACCAGGCGGCGTCTTCTTCTTCTTTTTACCGTTAACGTCCAGGCGATTTTCTGTATATGTATGTGTGTGTGTGTGTTACGCGCGTGAGTGTGTGTGCATGGCGTTTAATTGTGGGCGGCGGGGAAAAAGGTAGCGGGCGACTGCGGCGTCGGCGGATTTGAAGTTTTGCAGCCCGATTATTATTCTCGGTGAATATTCGCTTTTCGAGACGCGTCTATCGTTGCAATTTGTGTATTTTAACAGAAAATTGATTTTCCTCTGTGGGCTGGCCTGATTTCAGCTTCCTTTCGTCCTGTGTGGGTTGCTAAATCCTGGCGGCGCCCTGAGTTTTGATTTACTTCAGTTCAGCTTTCTATTTTCTTTTATTGTTGTTTTTTGTTAGCCACACACAGCCAAGGACACTCACGCACACACACACACACACTGGCACAAACGCACCCGCAGTGGTACACGCACTGTGTAATCAAATTTAAGTTCGAATAATTCGATTGCGGCTAATGGTTTGGGAACTTTTTGCATCAACTGTGCCTGGACTGCTTTATGCTGCGTTGATGTTGCTGTTGCTACTGCTCCAATTCGCTGGTGTTGCCTTCGCCTTGGATGGATTTTCCTAGGGCTGTTGGTTCTCTGCCTTGATGTCTACTGCGAAAACCGAACTGAACTGACTGACTGACGACAACGAACTGATTTCGCGACCCAAGGAGCAGCAGCTACTACAACAGCAACAGCAGCAGATGTTGCTGTTTTCGCCGCAGCCTGATGTTGTTGCCACTTCCTCACAGTGGGCTGGTCAAAGGCCGTTTTCAAGGTTCTAGACAGGTCTCGGGATTATTTTCAATTGTACTCCTACCTAGGACATATTTTGTATAGAGTATTACTCAATAAAAGATTGGAAAGATTGGTTCTATTCCCGGTCTGATGTTTTAAAAATATATTTATGTTTACGAAATTTCAAAATTTTCTTCAGAGTAACTATGCTTTTATTATTATTTCAATTTTTTTTTTTGTAAATTTCACACATTTCAACAATTTTTTAATAAAAGGATCATACAATTTTATAGACAATTGAAAAATACTTTATATATTTTTACCTACCTAAGCCACTGTGCAGCGCTTGCAAATTCGAGAACGAAGGAAACTGCAACGTGGCAGCGACGTCGTGTTATTATTTTTCTCTCTCGTGCTCTCAAGGCTCCATTTCTCACCCTTTCTAGTTCTCTCGTTTTCTCTCTCAAGCGCACTCACAAAAAAGGTTGCACACAGTAGAAAGGAAAGTCATCTTTAATAGCTCGGGTAATTTCTTTATAGAAAATTTTAAGAATTAAGAATATTTATTTATTTATATTTTTCTTCTTTAGTAAAATAGATAGAAAGCAAAGAGCACGTAAGTATGCAATACTTTTAAAAAATGAATTTTGCTCGATCGAACTTCTTGTCGCTTACCTATTTATTATGTTTACTCTTACCTCCCAACTCTTAGATTCTGAAATATCTGCAATTTCTCGAAGTGTGCGTGCTCTATTGTGTCCGCTCGTCCTCTTTTTCTGTTTACCTCCCACTGACGCTTTTGAGATTGTATTGGTGCTCTCCCGTATCGGTATTGCCATCCCTGTCAGAAAGGTTCTCTCTTTCAGCGAGAGCGAGCGAGAGCACAAAAGCCGACCATTTGACTCACTCCAACTCCTTGAAGAGTCGGATGAGGAGTTGGCTTTTGTTTTGCACGTTGCCTTTGCCCAGCGGTAACTGTACACCGTGCCGGATTGGGATATGCGTTTTCAAAACACATTAGCGACAACAAAAGTAAAAAAGAAAAAAGTACAGGAATATGACCACGGCGTCAGCGCAATACGTATACGCCACGTAGCGCCGCCACGTGTCAGCAATGCCGGTCTCTCTCTTCCTTTCTCTCTCTCTCTTGCAAATTCGGCGGCCTGTTGTTTTTGTTTACGTCGCTCAGCTGTGAGGTTGGAAATTCGTAGCTGCCGAAAAAATCCATTTTAATCGCCACCTTTTGGAGTGATATGCCAACCGAAATCCGGTCGACTTGACCGGAAAGCCTCACGGCGGCCCAAGGTCGCGTGTGCAATTGACATTTTTATTGGCATTAAGTGGTGCAGGGACTAGTTTCGGTTTCAGTAGTTCCAGTAATTAAGGCAGACATGAAGACGCGCCAAAAAAAACAACGCCCGGAGTGCTAGGACTCCTAAATACACTAAGAAGTGAGTCGAGTCAACATAAGGGTACCACAAAAATGTCAAGACATGTTAATAACTTATTTATCTAGTTGTATGAAAAAATTATTTTATATGAGGAAGTCAGAAAATTATGGTAAAAAAAAGTTTAAGATTGACGTCATAGAAACATATCAATGGGTTTTAGTATCACTAGACTATAATATATATACAAATAATATTTAGTGAATGTAAATCCTTCTTTTAAAATCTTTAAATGCATTAAACTTTTTTTCGGTGTAACTTGTGTGTGTTGCATTCGAGTTGCGACTTTGCCGCCATGCCACATGCATCATGAATCACGCAAATTCGAGGCACGCAAAGACAATGACGCCAGTCCTTTTTCGCACCACTAGCATGGTGTCGAGGACGCATAACTCTGGCGTTTGTAATCAGGGTCGTCATCGCGAAACTATAGTTATAATAGATACAAAATTTACCCTCGCTAGCATTTCCAAGGAAACTTCGCTCGTAAAAGCCAGAATAACAGTTAGCATTCATACCGCCCTTTAAGGTCTATGGCATTTAGTCAGGTGCTTTAAGATGGGGGAAATGGAATTCATATCCCAGCAGTAAAGTGCCGACAGCCGTTTGACAGTAAAACTCTGGCCTTGGGGGCATCTATTAAAATTTATATGCAACCAAAAACTGGAACTGGACGTCACCAGACAAGATACACACAGTGCCGAAAAACGGGATTCTCATACAATATAAACAAATATCCATTTTGCTATTATTGTTTAAATGGATATGATTGGAACTGAAATAAAATGATGTACAAAGTGACTAATCCATGTCCACATGAACAAATTAATCCCGATTTTAAAAACTCTAACCAATTTTTTTCCAAGTCTGGTTTTTAATTCTGAAAATTTATAAAGATATTTAAATGGAAACATTTATATCTATTAAAAAAAAAGTTTATTCTTGTTGCTTTTAAAAGTCTAGAAAATAGAGTAAAATGGAAGATAAACTTATGTTACATAAAAACTAAAGACATTTTTCTCACTGCAGCTTTGGTTTAAGGGCTTTCCGCGAACGGCGGTGTTGACAAACTGTTCGCAGAGTTTTGGCTTCGACGGCATTGCTTTCGCTTTGTTTTGGCGACTTGGCGCCACGTCCTTGGCATGAAGTTCGGCGCTGGCCTTTAATTAGCTTTACTCGGATTACTCATACGCCATGGGGTCTGGTGTCGGGTCGGGTTGGTCCGGGATCCATTGTTTCAGCACTGGCATGCGGATGTGGTTGGTCAAACGTGCATGTCGGGCACGTGTTTGTTTCGGGTTAAAGTTAAAGCGAGCGGTCTTAATGTCAGGGTCAATGCAGAATACAGGGAACTTGCATGTGGGGCCGATTGGTTGGGTTTGCAACCCCCTTTTCCCCAATATGTGAGGCATATTATACCCACTGACGTTGCATAAATCAAAAAATACAAAAAAGGCCGAGACAATGTATGTTTTGTTGCTCGAGAGATACAATATTTATTCAAAAGCAATTGGCTGTCCGGGCGCTTCTGTCGGCGACAGCTGCACACTCGGGGGACACTTTTGACACACACACGTGGCCAAACGAGTATATAGTACATAATGAGTACTATAGGGTATGCAGAGAATAAAAGTGGCCTTGCTACTGACAATTAGAGTTATTTTCACTCGCAATAGGGGAAATGTCGGTGCTGCAACGTGCCCGCAAATGGCAAAAAACATGTGCATGAATAATACAGGGGAATGTTATGGACATTAGTTATTTTATTTGGGGTTGGGTAACAAGAAGCTAAATTAAGTGGTTACGTTTTAAACGTAAATAACGAATTTTGAATGATATAGCAGCCAGCTTGTAGTGGTAATCAAAAATTGGTTATCGATAACTTTCCTCCTAAGAAATTTTCGTAATTTCAAAAACCTAAAACATATTTCATTTTTATTTATAATCCTATATAGTACATTATGGAAACTATGGTGTTTTGTTGTGCAAGCCTATTCATTATTATTTTTTCCACTTACATGTATATTTTAGTTGATTAAAAGGATCATACACGTTAAGCTTGTATAGGCTTCCTCTCTTGTAGGCATCCTATATTTGAAAACGATATCATTTCCCGCAAAAAAGGTGTGACCATACGATCTTTATAAAAAAAAGATATGACCGTGTTAAAAGGCGCTTTGGTATTTTTAACCGCTTTATTGCTGACTCCAGCTGTTTGCTTAGTTTCAAAACATAAACTTTAAACATAACTTAAAAAGAATAAATTCGTAAAAATGTCTACTTTTAAGCCAAAGTTCTTAAAACCAGAGACAGACGATGCAATATCCGATAGTGTTGGCGGCGAGCATCAGTCCTCCGCCTTCGTATTCAATGCCAATCACAATCTGGGACTTATAGAGCAGGTGAGGGTATCATTGTACTTTCATTATTTGAAAAATTTTAAAATGATCTTTGAATTAAATACAGAGAGATCGATTGCCAATTCGTCAGTACAGGGATCAAATACTTTATTGCTTGGAAAAACACCAGGTTGTAATTTTAGTGGGTGAAACCGGCAGGTTAGTAAAAGTCATTAAATGAGACTTATTAATATATTGGTATCCCCTGTGATTTTCAGTGGTAAGAGCACCCAGGTCCCACAATATTTGTATGAATGGGGATGGCATTCAAAGGGACTCATAGGCATCACCGAACCACGGCGTGTTTCCACTGTAAGTAATCCTTATACATATTCCTACATAAACTTTCAACGTTAAAAAAACTCGCAGGTTACTCTTGCAAATCGTGTTGCTCAAGAACGGGGCGAACTAGTAGGCGATACGGTTGGATATGTAGTGCGTTTCCTAGAAAGGATCACCGCAGAAACCAAGATAAAGTTCATGACTGAGGGCATATTGTTACGCGAACTCCTAGCCGATCCTCTGCTCACTCAATACGGTGTTATCGTAGTAGATGAAGCCCACGAGCGAAATATGCTCACCGACATGGTTTTGGGCCTTCTCAAGAAGATTTTACGCAAGCGCAGCAACCTTAAACTTATTATTTCTTCGGCCACCATAGATGCTGGTTTCTTTAGTGAGTTCTTCAGTTGGCCAGGATCAGGAGAGGTTAGTGTAAAACTTACCATCGAAGGGCGCATGCATGCTGTTAGTAATTTCTACCTTAACGAACCTTGCGCCGATTATGTCAAGGAAACGGTGGAGACGGTGTGGAAACTTCATCAAAAAGAACCTCCCGGTGATATTTTGGCCTTTTTAACAGGTCAGGAAGAAGTCCTCGAAGCCTTGGATCTTCTAAAGGAATACATTGCTAGTTCAGAGCAGGAGAATCTGAAGGTTTTGCCTATGTATGGCAGCATGTCCAGTACTGACCAGCTGGCGGTATTTTTTACTCCACCCAAAGGAGTGCGAAAAGTGGTACTGGCCACAAATATTGCAGAGACTTCCATTACCATCCCCGGCATCGTTTATGTAATAGACTGCGGCTACGTCAAGGTAAAGTGGTACAACCCCAAAACTTGTAGCGACAGTTTAGTAGTGGTACCAGTTAGCAAGGCCTCGGCGATTCAAAGAGCAGGACGAGCTGGTCGAATGCGACCAGGAAAGGTCTACCGTCTATACACTAAATCAGACTTTGATGCACTAGCTCCTCGACAGCCACCAGAGATGCGACGAAGTGAAATGAGCGGAGCTGTTCTGCAATTAAAAGCACTGGGAATCGGAAACATACTGCGCTTCGATTTTCCATCTCCACCGCCGGCACAAAATCTTCTTTCTGCATTGGAGGGTCTCTTTGCCCTTGATGCCATCGATGAGCAGGGTAATCTGACTAAGCCCGTTGGTTATTTGCTTGCCGAGCTGCCCTTTAGCGCTATGCTATCAAAGATGCTTTACATTTCTGGACAGATGGGATGCTCCGAAGAGATCATAACTATCATTGCTATGTTGCAAGTTCAATCCATATTTTCTCGTCCAGTTTCGGCAGTGGCCCAGCAAAGTGGACGCATTGCTCATAGGCACTTCGAGGTGGCCGAAGGGGATTTCATTACGCTCCTGAACGTTTATACTGGCTTTGTGGAGGAGGGAATGACTAAGGAGTTCTGTGGTCAATATTACCTTATCTATAGGAATCTTAAAAGAGCCCACGAGTTAAGGGAACAGCTCATTACCATGGCCAGAAAGAAGTATGGCATTCCAATCTTCTCGTGCAAGGGAGATGTGGAAACGTTGTGTAAGTGCATCACCGCCGGTTTCTTCACCCAGGTGGCTTATCTACACCACTCTGGAGTATATCGACAAATTAGCAGTGGCACCGAACTGGCAATACATCCAAACTCCACACTGTATACACTTCCACAAGCTCAGTATGTAGTTTACGGGGAACTCCTCCAGACTACCAAGTTGTTCATGAACCACGTGACGGTGATCAAGAGGGAGTGGCTGACGGAGCTGGCTCCGCATTACTACAAGCAGACCACGGTGCGCGATTAGTACGCCTCCTCTTCAGGTATAAAAATGAGGGGTGATCAATAGCTGGTTCTTATTAATTAAGTATATTATTTTATTTTAATATTATAGATAAACGCCTCTTGAAATTAACTTAAGCTAAAAGGATGTGATTCTCCTGGTTTCCTTCCGGAGTCTAACCAGCTGCCACACGTCCACGACCTTGGAACATCATCATAGACTCTGGACCACGAATGACTCGTGACATCAGCTCCCAGCACATTTTGGCGGGCAAAAGACTGAAAAATCAAGTATAGTTTCCTTAAATAACTAATATTTGAATTAAATTACTCACCATTTAAGAGGAGTTAGCAGGCGAATGGAGTTTGGTAGGACGCACCACACCTCGTTACAGCGGACAGCGTTTTCGATGCGATCCGCCACATACTGTGGCTCCAGCATGGGCATCATCCGGGGGCGAACCCCCGAAAACATGCCGGTATTTATATAATACGGGCATATCAAGCTCATCTGGATTTGATCATAGCCATGGGCTTTCAGATCCGTGAGCAAGCTCTCGTGGAAACCGATGCAGGCGTATTTGGTGGCAGCGTAGTCACTGCAACCGTAGGTGCCCAACATTCCAGTTACTGAACCCACGGTCACAATATGACCACGATTATTCCTCATCATGTGCGGAAGAAACGCTTTTACGGTCCAGTAGTGCGAGATGATGTTGATGTTGTATGTATTCTGGATGACCCGATCATGAAGTTCCCAGAATGGTTTGCAGCAAACAATTCCAGCATTGTTAATTAGTATATCAACCGGACCTACTTCCTCGGTGACCTGACTTGCCCGCTGGTAGATTTGTTCACGATCTGAGATGTCAACCACATACCCTTTGCAGTTGTCGTAACCATGTTTGGCCAAGAGGTCCACTGCTGTCTTAATAGCTGCATGGAAATTTATTGTCAAATATTGTTCAACTAATCATATGGTAAATGTAACAGCTTTCACTAGTTACCGGGTTTTTGACCCGCCGTGCAGAAGCTGTGACCGAGTAATTAACACCTGGGTGCTAGTCCAAGCCCCTACCTTCTTGATTAATATCCCAAATGACGATACGGGCCTGAAGTCGAGCAAAGTTTAACGCAATCAAGCGACCAACCCCTCCGCCGCCTCCTGTGATGAGCACCACCTGACCTGAGATATCCTGTTTCGGATGGAAAGAGTTACATAAGATTAAGTATTATGAAATAATTGTAAATATAAAATTTTAAACAAATTAAATTTATAATAATATTGTAAATTTTGTTCAAATAATCTTTTATTTTTTTAGATGACCCCATTTTACTTAATTTTCATTTCGAAGTCATAAACTGAAATATATGTAAGGAAATCATTTTAGCATGCGAAAAAGGTGCGACTGCCTTATGTTGTTGGAGCATTTCAAATGACTTGGCCATTTTGCATAATTTCAAACTGTTATTTTGGCCAACGACTGTCTTGCAACATATGCTTGAATCATAATATACGTTAAATGTCGCAATATATAGTTTTGTTGGACCCACAACAAAATTCAGTCAATATGAGCAGAGTTCAATCCCCAGCAGCAGAGCATATCAATTTTTGTCGTCAAATTGCAACCAAGGAAGCTCCTTCCAGCTGTCTGCCAGGCAGATCACAGCTTTTTCTTTTGGCTTGCTGGTAATTTATATATACTTTTCTATGCAATTTTTTTTGTATTTTGGTGTGCGTGGAGCGTGCACTTTGCAACAACACAATAATGACTAAGGAAAAAGGCAAAGTTTTTGGATGAGGAAAAACTTGTTGTCATACTAAGCTGGTTACTGCTCGTTGGACTGTCAAGTCACGGATATTTTTAACCAAAAACTGAAGATGCGTTTGATGACGATAAATATTTATGCCCAAAAAGTAAATAGCTTAAATTCAATGTCACCCTTGGTCTTTGGTTAATTGAAAACAAAGCTCCATAAAACCAAGTTAGCTGGCAAATATTTAAAGAGCTCGTAGTTTAAGCACTCAAATTCATATCATAGTAAGACCATGCAGAAGCCAAAAATAGAGGAGAGACCATTCATGAATAACCAGCAAAGCGTGTGAACAAAATTGTTTACCGCCGAAGCGTATCTAAACAAAGCAAGTGGTTTGTTCAAACGCTTTTACGACAATTTTATTAAGCTTGCAAATGAAGTTTGTCGATAGCAGTACATATAAATTGGAAAGTTTTTAGACCCTGTGTTAAAACAAACAACCGAGTTTTATACACCTTAATTAAATTAAAATGTTATTCGTCTTCGTTTATGCTAAGACGGAGGGTATCATAAATTCGAGCTGATCATCTGCATTGTTTTTAAAAAAGCGAACACAATTTCTTTTGATTACCGAAAAACTGCGCCTGGCTCATTAATGTTTGTGAAACTGCCAAAACTGACAGTCTGCAAAAAAACAAAACATAAGAGAAATGGCTTTGAGGTAGCTCTACCTATGATTGATTTCGAGTGGTAAACTGGAAGCGGCTTTGGAAATATGTGTTTATTTTTTGTGGGTGTCTCTTGATATGTTGTTGTGCAATCAAGGCACCCCAGGGTCAATCGAGCAAAGAAAGTGTATTAAGTTTAAATTAAAATATATGCTCAATTTGGTTGTACCTTTAACTTTCTAAAACGCTGCGGCAATAGGCTGTAGTAAATCGATTCGAGTATGTAAAATATAGATTTTATGGTGAAGACTATCAAGTCGAGGAAAAACTGATAGAAAGCTTTGAGCGGATGATCCATATGCAAAAGTCCCGGGGAAGAAGTCATGTTGAGGTTGATTTTTTAACGCCCTTGGCAATTGAATTGGTAGGGTAAACGTGCGCGGGAGTTTCGATATGGGTTCGGTTTTTTATATATTCCTTGCGCATGCGCGGCTCGAATGGCTGATTAGGGCTGTGGCACACCACATAAATGGCACTCGGCATGCACAATTTGATCACTTTTAATGGCTCTTAGCCGTGCATGTTAATGATCCCGCACAAATGCAAATTGAAATTCACTGGAATTTCACTGTCTTCCTATCTGAGGCTTGGAGTTGGATTTCAATTCGCACGATCTTTATGCTGGCCTTAAGCACTCACGTCCGCCTAGGCTGGAGTCACAATCCCCACTGACTAGCCAACCGTCTGGCGAAAAACCGAAAACCTCAAGCCCAAGCCAACACGCTGTTTCTATTTTGTTGCCTTTTTCCATTATTCGAGATTCACATTCATACAATGGCAGAAGAAATGGAATGGTCGGCAGCATAAACCGAATCTGAGCACTTTCTTAATTTGGCTTTTGCTCTTTCTAGCCAAGCAGCTGTTGGCTGGTGGCCCACACGACCTGTTTCTTCATTCATTTTATTGTCTTAGTCGGTGAGTATTTGATTACGTTTTATGTTGATTCCGCTTCAATTCGCATGCTACATTGGACGTTTTCTACCAATACCTACGTCGGAAACGGACAATCTAGACCATATCTTTAAGATACTTTCGCTTCAGCAATGATATATTTTATATTAATATATTTTTAACATAATTATTTATAGTTTAGAACTTTAAGAATATTTCGATCAGTAAAATTCTTGTATAAAGTTTAAACACATTTTGTGAAAAATATATTGGATATATATGCAGTATTTTGTGTTGCCTTTTTTTAATTTATTCATAATGAAATTCCAGAACCACCAACAGTTGAACCTTTCCTACGAACTATTCATGCGTTATAAACATAAATACCCCCAAAACTATGTATAACAGACAAATACAAACACAAGCCGATCAATAATTATTCACTGAAAAGTATGCAACACTATCTAATCATATGACCTACTTAGCCATTTAAAGCTAGAATAAACTACTCCATTCAGCTCATCTGCTTGTAAACAAATATATATGTACATAGATGGGTAAGGTATAAGGTAAGGTTTGAATTATAAAGATATTTTGTTCCACTGGTATCAATCATATGGATTCCCAAATACAGTCCTCAAACAAGAATCTGGTTCTTTGATTAGATTTCCCAAAAATGAAATGTTCCTCAACCGTCCAGTGTGAGTAAGACACATATGTGTCATATAATTTCCGAATTAAAAAAACAATTATAAATCATTACTATATATTTTGCATTTTTCGTTTGCCTTTGTGTTCTTGGTTCCATCTTCAACCTTATAAATTTATATTTTTACTTCAAAGAATATGAGGATACGCATATTATCGTCGACACTTGGGAATATTTTCTGTTCAATCACATATGGGTACTTCGGTACTATAAGTTTTTTCCATTTTACTTATTTCGTAAGTAAATTCGCCTGCTAAGTCGATTTAATTTTTGAATAAACTTTTTTTTTAATTATCAAAACTTTGATAAGGATATCACTTTAGTAATTTATATTAAAAATATGTAAGTTTCTGGCAAATATAATATATTTATTTTCATCAGTCACTTTAACTTAAAACAATTTAACAGAAATTTTACCAGATAGCTGCCTTGACTTCATTATTATATATAACAACTCCTATTATTTATTTACAACTTTAATTAGTGCTTTGTGTATCTAGTAACTCCAGCTGATCCTCAGAAGAGACTAGATACATCATCTGCTCTATCGATACCGATTCCAATCAATTTCAGTCACGCGGCAATCGTCACGCGGCCAACAAAACTACCGATATTTTAGCCAGGCGCCCAGAAATCTTATGAACAACGAACTGTGCCCTATCGATTCGAAATAATACAACGGATACAGACACACACACACACAAACACACGGACGGGCGCATAAAGAGCGGCGGCGGCAGTCAGAGATACACATATACACACCACACAGATACAGGGAGCTGCTTTCGGTTTCTGCTTCTTTTATTCGTCGCAACTTTGGTTGGTGGTTTGGTGTGTCTGCCTGCACTGGGATTGGGATTGCCGTACCGCTGGCCCCCGGAACCGTTGCTACAGTTTATTGGTCGGCAAGCGTTCGCCCAGTGCCTGCATTCGAACGGCATGAAAATCTCGAAAAAAACTTCAAAATTTGTGTTGGTCGAATGACACAAACCGCACACCAGGCACTCAGGATCGTTTAGATGGTGTTTGCCCTCATATAGTTGGATGGTGGCTCTTATTGGCTGCCGTCACAGCTGCTAACGCTCCGCATTTCGTGCGCACACACACAGCCAAAACGATTGCCTCATGGACGCCTTGTATTGTTTTCATACCCTTGCCGAAGGTATTAACATTATTGATTGGTCTAATACTTTCCACCCCATGAAAGTAGTCTATGAATATTCTTTACTTTACAATCTATTGACACAACATTGCACCAATCATCTTATTTTGTTATTATGCAAATTGGTTTTGAACATTTTTGGAATTAGATAAATATACTCTATAGTTTCTATATCGGGCTCTTCAGATATTAAGTTAAAAATGATTTTTTCTTTGCTTATTACATGTAATTTAATCAAACTAATGTATATATAAATTTAATAATAACTACAATATTTTATGTTGTCATTTTAGAACAAATTATACTTTTTATGCTTGAATGATTTACTTTTACTTTTATTAAAACAGTTATAAAAAGTTAAATAACTGGACAAGTAGTGGTATAATACGTCCTTAGAAAGCCTCTTTAAACTGGTTTTGTGGTAATAACCTAACCAATTCCTGATATTTACCGTTCAACCTTAAGTATTATCACAAAGAGTATATAAAATGCGGCTTGTTAAAGTCCCTTCCCTATACTTTAGTGATAGCGCCCGGCCGGCGTCAGCTGTTTACTGTGACTGGTGCGACAGGCGCAGACCAACCAGAAATGCTTTAAAGCGGGGATAAAGCCATTACAGGCCAAAGTGGCCAAATGGCCAAACTGGTCAAATGGCCCTTGGCCAGGCGAAAGAGCAGGGCAGCAACTCGGAAACGATCTGATGATGCCATTCGATAAACCGAAGAATCAGCAGAAGAAGAACGGAAACGAAAAACAGGTTCTCCTGATTGAACCTTTAAAGTCCTGCACCTCAATTATGTGGGTGGAGTTCGTGTTTCATGTGGCATTGGCCATTGTTTGGCCATTGCATTCGATGATAGGTCCCGGGCCTATTGGCAATCACAATTGTAATTGGCCTCTCATCTGATTGACTCAAATGCCCTACCTTCCAACCCTTTTTTTCATCCGCTTCTAGTCCCTTTCCAGCCTCCCCATTACTGTCCAGTAATTTCCCAGCTAGTTATATGTCGACGGCGCTCAACAGGTGGACTATAAAGGTCCATCAATGGGGCCCTGACTGGTGTTAGAAAAATGCGGCCAGCAGCAAACCGTTCTCGTTGACACAACGCGCTCGCTCCTCGTTGGCTGGCATTAAAGTGACTTTTTTCAAATAAAATTTTGTGTAGTGCGATTTGTTGTATCGCGCGTCCATTAACAGGAGCCCAGAAAAATTAGCCAGCTGATTGCTGACATTTTAGCACCAACAGTTTTCTTTGGCTCTCGTCATGGTAGAGCGGGATGGCTGTACAGTTGCCGGCGTTTCTGGCCTTGCGCTAGAGCTAGATAGCTATAGTTCGGGTAAAGTTGTTGGCTGGTTTGGGTCTCCGCTAATTTATTCAGATTGGCAATGCTTGCAAAGCTTTTATACACTGGGAATTGGGAATTTTTATTTTAAGGGAACTTTAAATTATATTTTGTAGTTTTTGCTAAAATCTAAATTTTTAATCTTAATAGATATAGGCACATTTTTTTCAAGTAAGAAAGAAACTAGTATTTTGATATAGAAACTTAAAATTTCATTTTTTATTATTTAAATTATTATTATTAAAAGTAGAAAGAAAACATTCCTAGTGTATATATAAATAAATACTACATAAAATAATACCAAACCACTTGTTCATATAAGATTAAAAAATGTATCTTAAACGAATGAAACATGTTTTTCAGATTATATATATTTCTATTAGTGATCAAGATTAATTTATGATAAGATGTTTCCGTGACTATAAGATACCCGCTTTCGGTTCTAAAAAAGAGTTAGGGGTTAATTGGGTTTATGGAAGTCTAACGGATTAAATTAGAATGTACGTCAGGAATATATACGACCTTTAAAATAAAAAGGCTCTGACGCGATTCTTAAATAAAAATAAAAGCGTATAAGACGAGAATGACGTTGAAAAGCTGCCGGTTTGCCAAGAAAATTCTCAGAATCTTTATGATATATAAAATCGATTCTTCTAAATAATTCACAGAATTTTATATGATGGGTTATGACGCAGGTTTCGAGACAGGTTATCCCCAGAAAACGAAAAACCCCCAAAAATAGTTTATGTACAGAAACTAAAGTTTATGAGTAAGTTAATCATTGAAAACTTAAGGGGTCGACACACGTCTAAATCGACCCATATATGATTGAAGATTTAGGCGGAAAGTAAACTAAATATTTAAACAAGCAGCTTAAGAGGTCACGCGTATTAACAACTGCAAATATTTAAGGCATCTTGAGATTGATAAACCAAAGCTTACAAACTGAAGCGTAGACCGAACCTTTTGTATGTGCTAAGGTCAGGCGGCACAGATGATAAATGATTCCATTAGCTATTTTGTTGTTGTTGGGTTTTTGTTTTCAGATAATCAGGGACACTTGTGCTTATATGGGAAGTCGATTAAATGGGCAAATTGTTAACCAAATCTGATCTTTCAACAAACTACTACTAAGTTACCACAATCAATCTCACTTAACTTTAACTAATACACCAATAACACTGAAGCGTAGATTATGGTTTTTGTTTATAATAAATATTAATTTATTATTTTAATAGGTACATAAATATATTGATTTTTCAAACAACCAGCTGAAATATCGATGCATCGAAAACTCAAAGTGTGGAATTAATTTAATTTAAATCAGATTAAAAGTTTGCCTTTGTTTTGCCTTTGCATGCGATTACAGAGATTTTTTTCGCCATCGGTATTATAAATATTAATGAAATATTGCCTGAGATAGGTTTGATTCACTTGTGTCAAGTGTTTGAAATATAAACCCATGAAGTTGGTTTCGTGTTCCCAACCAGTTCTGAAGATTTACACATGATCAAAATCCAAAAATAAAGATAAATGCGATGAGCTTAGATAATGAATAATGTCAGTCATAATATGAGCAAAAGGTGCAAT